TTGTATTATAAAACATATGGGAAAGTCGTTAGTGCAGTACAGTAATCCATGTAATACCGCATCAGAAAAGTAAGGTTGCCAGTGTCAGACAAGATCCTGGAGCTCTTGTCAAAATCCTTCGTCCGTTCTTTTGACTGACACAAAAATGTAGGGATATTTTTATTTATTTATTTATTCTTTTTTTCTGTACGTACACCTAACGGTCAGTCGAGAACCACTCAGCTGTCAGTGAGGATATGAGTACTTATTGCACGCTTCCCTGTCCGGAGCTGTAAACGTTTTAGCTCTTCGTCTTGCACAGGATCAAGGGACTACCCAATAAGCCAACACTATATACCTCATTAACTATAATCTAAAAAAAAGACAACACATCTAGCACGTCTAAACAAATGACTAACGTAAAGTTGAGAGACGCTGCCAACTCCCTGAGGAAGTCGGCCATGGGCCCCCGGACCACTGTGAGGCCTCGGTGACGCTCATGGTCGACAGTAGTCTCGCTCACCGCCTCCACCTGGACGTGGGGCGGCCATGACTCTGCCGCCACCCGCAGGTGAGGGGCACGGGGAAACCTGAAAGTAGGTGGTGTCAATACACAGGTTTTAGGTGAATTGTATACAGTAAGTGGTTACAGGGAAGGGTGAAATTATGAGTATTCTATTTTACGCACAATTAATGTAATGAGTATCGATACAGACTTATTTACACACGGACAACATCTACACCCATACTGGCCGAAGATGATGACATTTATATCAAGCAAATCTCGACAGTCAGGTGAGGTGGTGTTACCGGAACTTGAGGGTCCTGTTGAGAGAGGCGCCCTCCTCAGCCACCGTCTGCCAGGGCTGCTCTACACTATCTGCCACCACCTCGTCTGCCAGATAAGGAAGTGGGGTGACATTGAGGATAGTAAACGAGACATATAAGTAAATATCCTTCAAGAAAATTATAAAAATAGAGAGTGAATTGCAGTATCGTGATGGAATGTTACAGAAAGACCTTTACCTTAAGATGACACACGGGATTAGAGTTACCTTGATGTGTAGTAGTTATCAAGATCATTATTCCCACCTGCCACAACCACCACTTGTAAGCCATCACAAGGTTGACTTTGAACCTGTTGTCACGCACTGAAGGGGGGAAGGGAGGAGGTAACGGAGTGTTGAGGCAGAATTTATCAACAAAAGTCTACTGCACACACACTAACTGTTCTTGGATATTCATAGTTACCGTTGTCGATCCTGCTGTTGTTGCCGAGTCAGCGAGGTGTGGAGCTGCCTAGGGTAACATTATATACAGCTGGTAGACTTGACTGATAGAGGCGTTGTTGAACTGTTGTCTGTTACACCTGCGCAGTAAACTAGGGAGGAGGGGGGGGGCGGGGATGGGAAGGAGAGATTGACTTATTATCGGACTCTCTCTCTCTCTCTCTCTCTCTCTCTCTCTCTCTCTCTCTCTCATCGTTTCTCACCACCACCAACCCCCAAACACCTGAAGCAAATTAATAAACCAAGAAAGACACGCTCCTCCGCCTTCCCGCTTTAAAAAAAAACATACAAACACAAAAATCATAATACGAAGCTCGCTGGCCACATGTCACCAAACAACAGATGTAGTAATCTTTTGTGTGTGTGGTGGGGGGCATATGTGACGCCTGGCCAGGTAGGTGACGGCCATGCATTAATGTTTTCGTAATGTTGTCTAAAAAAAAAGTATTGGATAGGTTACATCACCGCCCTCACGCCCTCACAGCCACGACGATTCACATGATCTGGGAATTTGTTTCTTTTTATGAGTTACACGTTGATTAAAACTCCAGATTAATTCCCTGTATACAACCTTGTTAGTTATTACTTGTTGTATCGTGAGGCTTATGTTGTTATTATTGTTGTTGTCATAAACTCAGTTGGGCTGCTTGATGTTACAGCAATGGTGTGTGTGTGTGTGTGTGTGTGTGTGTGTGTGTGTGTGTGTGTGTGTGCAATATAATATGTGGTGTACAGTATATTGTTATACTGCAGACATGTGCACAAGTTATTATTGACGAGTCATGGGTCATATAATATGGTTAAATAAGTTGAAGAGCCACAGGTATAATGTAGTGAGTCTTGAAGAAATTAATGCTGTTTGTTATCCTGGCTGTACTGTATAGATAAAGAGGAGAGAGCGTCTTCACATAAGTCTTTTAATAGCCAGAACTCTATTGACAACAAGGTCATTTATTCCCCAAATTTATGTAACGGCATGACAGGTGATTCATCACTTGCCGTAATTGTATGATAATTGTGCAAGAGAAAAGATTTTGTCTTTTAATCTCTGAGCTCATCTGGGATCTTGAGGCAATGGAGTCAGTGTAAATTATACAGTAGTGTTTTCATTCTCTCGTTATGTGTATACAGTACATACATGCATGCATAAATGAAGATTGATATTCTAAAATAAATGGAAAACGGAAAAAAAAATCACTCATGACGTCACTAATAGCTTCTGGACGCAGCCAATAGATGGCACTATTATTGAGGTATCTGGCAACAGCACCGTACACACATTACATATACTTTAGCTTGAGCTTTCTTTTCTTGAGTAGAGTATCTTGCCACATCCAGTGCACCACCCTCACCTGGTGCAGGTGTCTGGCATCGGTATCTAATTGAGTGTTAAGTTCTGGTGACCATTATGGCCAGAATGTCTTACAACAGTTTATTTATTTTTATTAATTCTCCAGTCCTTCTTCCTGTGTCATAAATAATTTACATATTCTTCAATACATTCTAACGAGTTTTCTACGATACTTATATATAGGACGTATGCAGCAGTAATATGCATACTGTATAAATTTATGCAAACCGAAATCGGGATTGTTAACTCTAATCTTATAGCGATTTGATTTGATGTAAGTAAATAACATTGACACACAGAGTACAAGGAAAATAGTCAAGATTATTAAGGTGTATTATAAGATCTTTTGGCGTATATTACGTTCACCTATAAATGTTTTATCAAGAAAGTGTATAACTACTGTAGAGCAGTGAGTTTCAGGCTTGGCTGACCGATATTGGCCAAATATTGTTCAGTAAACCTGTTTGTTTCTCTACTTCCTCTTTCATTAGTCAGTGACATACGTTTGTTTCTTTACATTTTGACGAATTTACAACGATAGTTATATGAACCACTGTTGCCTGGTTCTCACTTTTTATATAAGTCAAATAATACAACTATAGTCAGCAGGCAAACCCTATTATCCTTGTTACTAGTAAATGAATTTCCATTGATAGCATAACTATGAGTGCAAATCTATTACCTGGTTATCGGAATATTTACACAACCCCCCAAAATTACCCCCCCCCCTCTCCCCCACCCCTGGCCTGGTGGATTTGGTAATGAACACAGTAACACGTGTACAGCAGTCTCGGTTCGGCTGGTATTTCTGATTGTAAGTTGTACCTTTCGTTCATTCTTCGTGCACCTGAATGTCACCATGATACCTGCAGTATATCACTTATTCTCTACATAATGTAATGGAATAGAATGAATTGTGATACCATAATGAAAAACCAGTAACGTCATGAGTAACCGCACTGATTTATGGCACCTGAGAGACTATATTTCAGCCCCAGGGGATGGGTTGCCTAATAGCAATATAACGTCACTATGTTTTTATGATGAACCGAGGTTACATTGGAATCACTTCGAACGAAATATGAAACACTAATCCTATATTATATTCATTTGCCATATCCAGTTATTTGTTATGCTTGTGCAGTACTCTCTCTCTCACACACACACACACCCCCAAGCGTGATACCCCTTCTCTCAACTGCCTCTTCAAACTATCATAGTTTGCCCTTCTGAAATCTGGGACTTTAGTGGAATTTTCCTTGCGGCTGCCCTGAAATTCTAAGTGAAATCTTATTTCTTTGTGATCGCTGTTAGCAAGTTCGTTCCCTACCTCGACATTACTACTGAGGTTTTCTCTGTTTGACAGAACTATTTCGAGTATATTATTACCCTGGATGGGTTCGGTTATATGTTGGCTTAGGAAACAGTCCTGGACTGTTTCAAGAAAATCCTCTGATTCTGAGTTACCTGTAAGGTCAGTCCCATCTATTTGGCTAAAGTTAAAGTCGCCTACTATACAGACTTTGCTATGAATGGAAGCCCTGTGCATTTCATCCCAAATAAGTCGCTCATTAACTCTATCAAGATTAGGTCTATATATTACTCCTGTGATTAGTTTTTCTCTGCCATCGATTAATTCTATCAAAATTGTTTCTGTATTCCGCTCAGTTTTTATTTCCCTATTTATTTCACACTTCAGATTATCCCTGACATAAATTGCTACTCCGCCTCCTTTCCTAATCTGCCTTTCGGTGTGGAATAATTTGTAACCTGTAATTTGGTATTCGACAGGTAACTCACGTGTGTCCAGGTTTAGCGCGAACACCACCCCTCTGGTGACTCATCCCACTAGTTTTCGTTGTCGGTCATTTTGTTGAGTCTTCAGTTGAAGGGCAATTGTTGTTGATTCTTCCCATGAACTATACAATATATAACCTTATGTGATTTACTTTGGTAGATAAGTTTTAGGATTTATTTTGAAGTAAATTTTTGTGTATAGTATAATACTGTATAGTCATGATAGCAAGTACCTGTGGGTGTGTATCAAGATCTGTGATTGGTTGAGACTAACAAGTGACACAAGAGAAAGGGCCTCGCTCACACTGTTTACCAAATTGTTTGTTTGGATGGTGTTTCTGCTCGGGGCATGACTTGAAGATGACCTCCGGGTTTGCTTCTACCACAGGAAGCAGATACTTTGTTTAATCGTCACAAAAGAAGCCAAAGGTGCAGTACATAGCGAGTCAACGAACGACAGCCCGTGCGTCGTTCATGGTCATGCGTAATAGTATTGAATTGTAACAGTAGAGCCAGTCTGCGGCACTGGAAGACCCCCCTCCCCCCCCTCTCCAACAAGACGTCACGGACACTTCGGCTTCATTCTCTCATAGCGGGTCACTGCGACCACTCGCGCTCCTTGCCTCGCTCGTACATTCATGACTTGTATTGAGAACACCATCTCGAGGAATAGTTTGGAGGGTGACGTTACCAAGTAGTAATTCTGCTGCTCCTCCAAGATGGACTGGTGGCGACTGTTGCTGCTGCCACTTCCACTACTACTGCTGGCAGGTGAGTGGTGTTCTTAGTTCAACTGGACAGGTAACAGTTAAAGAAACAGTCAGATGTTCATAGTTCAGTTTGACAGTTAAGTTAAAAAAACGGTAATACTTCACTTGATGGCCGCAGCTGCAAAAAAAAAAAAAAAAAGAGTTCATGGGCTGCAAAATCAAGAGCGTTCCAGCGGCCCAAGTTTGGTTGTTTTATAGTTTTAGGATATTTATAGGTTAAGGAAGTTAGGTCAGGTGGTAAATTTTACTTTAGGGCACTACTTAAAATCAATTAAACTCAATTGTGAAGAGGAGTTATGCTCAGGTCTTAAAAGGCTCACGGGAGGTGACGGAGAGTAATGCAGGATCCGAAAAAGTTCTACAACAGCTAGGGTCTCTGAAGAAGTGTGTCGAAGAGATGGCAACTAGCAGACCTACTGTTAGGGAGAGGAGGCACAGCGGGAACGTTTCCGGCGCACGAGTAATGTAATAGTTTTTGGGGTCCTTGAGAGCCAGGCGGAGGGAACTGAGAGTAGGATAACACACGATAAGATGCAATTTAAGAATATTTGTACAGAGGTTCTGAAGATGCCATCAACCCCTCAGGATGTGAGGAGGCTGGGACAAAAGCAGGGGGACAAGCTTTGCCTCCTCAGGATCACACTAGTGAGTGAGGAGGAGAAATGGGAAGTTATTCAGCAGTCAATAAACTTGGCAAAGAGCAAAACATTCCGGAATGTATTCATTCACCCAGATCGCACGACATTATAGAGGGAACAGCACAGGAAGCTCATGCACGGCTTGAAGCAGAAGAGGGAGGAGTCGAAGTTGAACGGGGACGGGTGTACATAGGTTATATCCAGGGGGAGGGTAGTGGCACCGAGAGCACCAGCGTTGAGCCAGGGGGCAGCGGAAGCGGTACACCCTCCACCCGTTCTACCTCCCACCCAGGAGGAGGCGAGCGCCGTGTAAACAATGACATTTCTAACCACACCCTGCAAAATACAGTGTACTTAGCAAATGCTGCAGCTTCTGAGAATGGAAGGGGAGGGGGGGTTACTACTAAGAGCAGAGACGTTACCGAGAACAAATTCTGGCTTGAATGTCATGTACACTAATACTGACACGTTTCTTGATAAGAGAGAGGAGTTTGAAACACTACTGAAGGTACACCAACCAGATATTGTAGGAGTTGCAGAACTGTTGTACATGAACAGGAGAATCGACCCGGAGGAATGTGAGTTCAGTATTGCTGGATATGACTCATTTACGAACCTTTCTCAAGTAACTTGCAAGAGGGGTGTGGTTATCTACGCTAGGCAAGACCTTAGAGCAAGCCAGGCAAGGGTACAGGGAGAGGATGTTTTTGAAGAGTCCAAGTGGTGCAAAATTAAATTGAAGGGAGGGGACTTACTTATTGTTGGGTGTATCTACAGATCCCCAAACTGCAGCTTACCAAACCAAAGGAACTTAAGAGCCTTAATTGACAATGCAGCGAGGCTCACCCCTAGCCACCTCTTTATCATGGGGGACTTTAACTATGGGGACATCGACTGGAGAAATGAGTTCACCCCAAATTACCTAAAAACCCGTTACTGTTTTTGTAGAAACTCTGAGAGATAATTTTCTGTTCCAACTTGTTAAGAGACCCGACACATTGCAGAGGGGAGCAAACACCCAAGTCACTTGACTTTATCATAACAAACGAGGAGGGAATGGTGGCCAAACTGGAACACCTTGCCCCAGTTGGCACCAGTCACCATATAGTGTTGTCATTCAGGTTTAATTGTTACTCGGTGCACGACATGACCAGGCCAAGGTGCAAATATTACAAGGGTAATTATGACAGGATGAGGGAGGAGATGGGGGATATCCACTGGCCTGACTCACTAAGGCACAAGAACGCAGAAATACATACCCAAGACCAAACCCAGTGCCTCTAGGAATACAAGGATACCGCTTCACATGAGCCATGCGGCGGTCGACAAAGTTAAGAAGAAAACCCAGATATTCAAGACGTAGGTTAGATCAAGCGATGAGCTGGACAGGAGGATGTATGCAAGAGCCAGAAACCAAGCAAAGGGAGAGTGTAGAAGGGCTGAAAAGGTGTTCCAGAGGCTGGTTGCAAGTGAGGTCAAGTCAAACCCAAAGGCGTTTTACCGCTATGCAAAGTCGAAATTAAAAACACGAGTAGGAGTATCAGACCTGAGGCTTGATGGTGGTAGGTACGCAGAGTCTGACCAGGACAAAGCCAAGGCATTGGACAGCTACTTTTCCTCGGTGTTCACAAGAGAGGATGAGAACAATCTTCCTGTGTTTGAGGATAGGCTGTACGACACAGCACTGACCCACATTGTGTTCACAGTAGAGATTATAAGAAATAAACTGTCAAAGCTAAAGGTCCATAAGAGTCCTGGCCCTGACATGGTGCTGAGAGAGTTGTGCAACGAGCTTGCCGAGCCCCTGAAGATCTTGTTCAGTAAATGCCTGGATGAACAAAAGGTCCCCAGTTATTGGAAAATGGTGAAGGTGAGTCCTATCTTCAAGAAGGGCGATCGTCACTCCACGAACAACTATAGACCGGTGAGCCTGACCAGCATAATATGTAAAGTACTTGAGAGCATTATAAGATATGCCATGATGGAACATCTACAACGAAACAACCTCGTAAATGATTGTCAACACGCTTTTATGCCGGGGCGCTCCTGCTTGACACAATTACTCGAGGTACTGGATATTTGGACCCACATTCCGAAACGGGGTGGTAATATCGACAATATATACCTAGATTTTTGTCAAGGCTTTTGTCAGTGTACCCCAAGAAAGGCTGAAAATTAAATCAGAAGGGAACGGGATACGGGGAAGTGTCCTGGCGTGGGTAGAGGGCTTTCCACATGACCGCAAGCAGTGTGTGGTGGTTAATGGCACGAAATCATCATCTGTATCCGTAACAAGCGGGGTACCACAGGGTAGTGTATTGGGCCCGCTGCTGTTTGTTTGCTTCATAAATGCTATACATTCCTCCATACAAATGTTTGCGGATGACGCCAAGTTATTTCGGGAAATCAAGAACCAAGCGGACTGTAAAGAGCTGCAGAAGGACCTCTGTGGGCTCCAAGAATGGTCGAAGAAATGGCTGCTGAGATTCAATGTCACGAAGTGTAAGAGGATGCACATGGGATGTACAGTACGAACGGTAAGGAGGCGAATCATATGTCCCAACGGGACGAAGAGACTGCATTAAATGAGACGGAATGTGAAAAGGACCTAGGTGTGTATGTTAACAATGAACTCAAGTTCTCGGGCTATTGCGAGAAGAAGGTAAACCAGGCAAATAAGTTTTGGGTCTTCTAAGAAGGTCGTTCGGATATCTAGACGGTCCGTCCCTCGTAACGATGTTCAAGAGTGAAGTGCTTGCCCGTCTGGAGTAGTGTCACCCCGTCTGGTCCCCGAGATATGCTAGGGAATGTCAGCTGATTAAAAATATCCAAAAGAGGGCCACCAGACTGGTGCCTGCACTGCGGCACCTCAGCTACCCGGAGAGATTGGAGCGCGTGAACTTGCCTAGCTTATACTACAGACGGGCAAGGGGAGATGTGATTGAGGTGTACAAGCATGTCAGAGGGCACTACTCAGTCGAGTGTCCTTACCTGGAGCTGGCTGACGCTCGTCCCACAAGGGGACATAGCTCAAGGTTAAAGAAGCCGCAAGTCCGGGTAACTGTGAGGGGTAACTTTTTCAGAGTGAGAGTTGTGAACGCTTGGAACAATCTGCCAGAGAGTGTGGTGACGGCACCGAGTGTGAGCTCTTTCAAGACCAGACTTGACCAACACTGGAGCAGGTTTAGGAGCCGGTGCATGCCCAGTACTTTCCAACAGTGCGTAACAGAGACGCGCCCAAGCGGCCAACGAGCCGATCAGTGGTGAAGAGGATAAAAGGGAATACAGTTTATGGGGTTCGAAATGCTCAGAATAGCGAATGATTCAGTAATTTATAACTTTCGGGGGAGCTGTGTCCGAAAGTAAAATAATACAGGTTAGGTATGGTTGGGATAGGTTAGGTTAGGTTAGGTTAGGCAGGCAGGCAGGCAGGGTTAAGTAAGGTTAGGTTAGGCAGGGTTAATTAAAGTTAGGTTAGGCAGGGTTAAGTAAAGTTTGGTTAGGCAGGGTTACGTAAGGTTAGGCAAGGTTAAATAAGGTTAGGTTAGGTTAGGCAGGGTTAAGTAAGGTAGGTTGGATAAGGTTAGGCAGATTTAAGTAAGTTTAGGTAAGGTTGGGTAAGGTTTGGTAAAGTGAAGTAAGATTAAGTAAAGTTAGGTTAGGTTAGGTTAGGTAAGGTAAGGTAAGGTTAGAGAAAAGTTGGTAAGGTTAAGTAAAGTCAGGTAAGGTTAGGTAAGGTTTTTAAAGGTTTGGTTGGGGTTCATTTTAGTATTTTACTGCTGAACATAATAGTAAAATACCTACGCCCATAAAGTGAAGTATTCTCAAAGAAACAGTATGGTGTTCTTGTAAAGTTAAACAGTTAACAGTTAAAAAAGTAAAATGTTCAAAGTTCAGTTAGAATTGTGAATCGAGTACCAGTTAGTTAGATTTATACAGTTAACAAGCACACGTCAGTTGTCTTATATCATTGTCGCCAGTCAGGCAACAGTCAGGTGTATGAATCCATTAGTCTTAAACTCACACTTAAAACCAGTCAAATATCAACGTTCCAGTCACTTTACATTCAAGAACCACTCAAGTGTTAATCACATTTACCACTTAAATATTAGTCACAGTTATCACTGAAGTTTTAGTTACATACGAACATAAGGATGGAGGAAACTGCAGCGAGCCCGTTTACACCCAACCCCTATCACTCATATATCCACCCAACTTATGTTTGAAGCTATCCAGCGTGTTCCAGTTAATGATGATGTTTGGTAACTTGTTCCACTCATCCACTACTCTATTTCCATACCAATGTTTTACCTAAAAGTCATCCAAATATTTCACGGACATATATATTAATATGTAATATTTATGTATATATGTAAATTTAAAAAAAAAAAAAAAAAAATACCGCGCCTAAATCTAAATTTGTCTAATATAAAACCATTGCTACGAGTTCGCTCCTGGTTGAATAGTTTGAGTACCTTTATTTAGCCCTGACTTCTATTTATAAACCTCGCTCATCCAGTATATATCGCTCCTCACTCTACGTCTCTCGAGGGAGTGCAAATTAAGGTACCAGTGTTGATTTTGCAACAGTCATTTTTTGTCACAGGCTTCACCTCACTAAATAGACATAACTGCTGTGTCGCCTCATGCGTTAAACAACCATGACTAACCTAACCTATCTTATCTTAATCTAACCACGTCGTAAAGTTACCGGTGTACAACAAAACCCATTCTCCCGGAACAACAGGAGGTGACGTAGGACCCCAGGAGGCAGAAGCTGTGTGTCAAACTGCTTCGGATAATAATATGCGAAGTGAACTTGTCGGGAAACACAACCTGAGTGTGTGGTTGTGTGGCTCACCATCTTACTTCAACACCGGGGGTCGTGTGCACCTCTCGGACTGTCCCGCCAATGAAATTGATGATGGACAAGCATGTAGTAAGTCTAACCTTTTGTTTGTATTGAGAGAGAGAAAGAATGATTATAAGTCCAGAAGTTTGTATTTTCTTTTAAGAGACTACAATAACTTTCACTAACCCACCACCACCACTACAACAACTTTCTCTAACCCACCACCACTACTACAACAACTTTCTCTAACCCACCACCACCACCAGCACCACCACTACAACAACATTCTCTAACCCACCACCACTACTACAACAACTTTCTCTAACCCACCACCACTACTACAACAACTTTCTCTAACCCACCACCACCACCACCACTACCACTACAACAACTTTCTCTAACCCACCACCACTACTACAGTACAACAACTTTCTCTAACCCACTACTACCAGAACCTCCAGTAAACCAGTTTCATCAATCTTCCTCCACAGGCACCTATACTGTTGATAGTGGTACAACACCGCTAACAACCTGTACAGTGGCCATGACGCCTCCCTTTAACTCTGTAGAGATAAAGGATTTCGACGGCGTTGCCAAGTACTTCGACTGTATTGAGAACATGGAGTGGTTGTCAGGCCGAAAGGGAAGGATCTCTCAGTGCTTCCGTGACGCGTGGACCCCAATCTACGATATCTGTGATGAAGGTGAGGTTATGTGTGATGATGGTGAGGTTATGTGTGATGAAGGTGAGGTTATGTGTGATGAAGGTGAGGTTATGTGTGATGAAGGTGAGGTTATGTGTGATGAAGGTGAGGTTATGTGTGATGAAGGTGAGGTTATGTGTGATGATGGTGAGGTTATGTGTGATGAAGGTGAGGTTATGTGTGATGATGGTGAGGTTATGTGTGATGAAGGTGAGGTTATGTGTGATGAAGGTGAGGTTATGTGTGATGAAGGTGAGGTTATGTGTAATGAAGGTGAGGTTATGTGTGATGATGGTGAGGTTATGTGTGATGAAGGTGAGGTTATGTGTGATGAAGGTGAGGTTATGTGTGATGAAGGTGAGGTTATGTGTGATGAAGGTGAGGTTATGTGTGATGAAGGTGAGGTTATGTGTGATGAAGGTGAGGTTATGTGTGATGAAGGTGAGGTTATGTGTGATGATGGTGAGGTTATGTGTGATGAAGGTGAGGTGTGTGATGATGGTGAGGTTATGTGTGATGAAGGTGAGGTTATGTGTGATGAAGGTGAGGTTATGTGTGATGAAGGTGAGGTTATGTGTGAATGAAGTGTGAGGTTATGTGTGATGAAGGTGGTGTGATGGGTGAGGTTATGTGTGATGAAGGTGAGGTTGTGTGTGATGATGGTGATTATGTGTGATGAGGTGAGGTTATGTGTGATGGGGGAGGTTATGTGTGATGAGGTGAGGTTATGTGTGATGAGGTGAGGTTATGTGATGAAGGTGAGGTTATGTGTGATGATGGTGAGGTTATGTGTGATGAAGGTGAGGTTATGTGTGATGAAGGTGAGGTTATGTGTGATGAAGGTGAGGTTATGTGTAAATGAAGGTGAGGTATGTGTGATGAAGGTTATGTGATGAAGGTGAGGTTATGTGTGATGAAGGTGAGGTTATGTGTGATGAAGGTGAGGTTATGTGTAATGAAGGTGAGGTTATGTGTGATGATGGTGAGGTTATGTGTGATGAAGGTGAGGTTATATCGTCTCATAGCAGTTGGAGGTGGAGGGTTCTCAAGGGTTTAAGTCATTGTATTCAAGGGATTAAGTCATTATACTTATGGGTTTAAGTTTTTGTATTCAAGGGTTAAAAGTCATTCTACTCAAGGGTTTAAAGCATTGTACTCAAGGGTTTAATTTATCATACTCCAGGGGTTAAGTCATCGTACTCAAGGGTTTAAGTCATCATACTCAAGGGGTTGTCATCGTACTCAATTTTATTTATTTTTTCTCTATTTTTTATAATATTTATGGATTATCTTTTTCTTGATAAATTTATAATGTTTTTTGAATCATGTGAACATTAGGCACCCCAACTTATATCACATGTCGATTGAACACCCTAACCTAACCTAACCTAATTTACCCTAACCTAACCCACCCAAAATTTATTAAGGGGGGGGGGCGGTGTATATTCATGTTTTAGTATGAGAGAGAGAGAGACCGTGTTGATGATGTGTCCTTCTCCATTAGCCTGCTCCATGCCGAGGGACTGTGCTGAAATAGACAAGCTGAGACTGCCCGGGTATAATATGTACACTGTTGTACCTTCAGGCGATCCAAGAGGGCCAAACAAAACGGTAAGAGTGTTAATTGTTGGTGGTTGTGGTAGTAGTTGTGGTGGTAGAGATGGTTGTTGTGGTGATGGCTAGTAATTAGGTTTGTTTAAGTTAGGTTAAGTTAGGTTTAGTATGGTTAAGTTAGGTTAAGTTCATTATTTTTCAACATTTTATTACTGTAATTGTTAGATGTATTTGTAATAATCAATAAAATACCTCACCTCGCCTAATGCTAACCTAACCTAACACTAAACCAATTTAATGGGAACCCACCAAGTAGGTCAGTCATGGTGAAATAACCTGGGTGGTGGGCTAATCATCAGGTCATCCCAACATCGCAGTCAAATACAATAATAAATCATAAAGTGGTGGCGTTGAACCAGACATGTTTACTGTACGTCAAGTTCACCAGCGTTTGTTTAATTGACTATGACGTCATAATGTCTGACTATAATGGGGGATATTTATGGTAGACAAAAGTTGTTGACCCATAGAACCCATGGTAACCTGTGGGGCTGACCCGGGTTAAACCCACCGCAGCCGCCCATGAGTGCGGTGGGTCCTTGCTTCAATTATGGGTGCACTCAGTCACTCACACGCCCTCAGAACCTTCCTCACACACACACACACACACACACTGGTGAGCTACACTGACACATGTACTACATACACAAAGGTATACACACATACACACACACACACACACACAGGTACACTGACAACACTACTCTACATGTACATGATCAGGACACATGATTATCTGAAAAAATATAGACGATCGTAATTTTTTTCCTGCGAGTGGTGGTGATAAACTTGGGAACGAGCAGTCACCACTGAATATATTATAAGCAGACTTGGGCGACGGCAGCAAGTTATTGTAAGGAGTCGTATAGGTGTACAACCCCCTCCCCCGCCAGGTGAACTGTACACATGATAGTAGTTGGGGATATTTAGCTGGAGGACATTCGAATTTTAATAATTTTTATTCTATTTTTTACATAAACTATGATTAAAATTATCATTACTACAAAATATAAACCCATTATATATGTGAGCGAAAAATAAATACCAGATATTGTCGAGATGTTGAAGGAAGTGTGTCAGCTACTTAACCAGTATTCTTGTACGTTTATCGTGATGAATCAGGCTATAAGGCTCATGAACACACCTGGCGAGTGCAGTAACACACACACCCCTACACCTCTCACTGGTACACACTATATCTGTATATTATTTTACGTTGAACTTTTAAGATTTATTTCATTCGTGTTGGAAGGTAATTTATTTCCGTCTTTGTTTCTTGTACGAGGGACGACAATTATTTTATTTTCTATTTATTTAAAAATTTTGTTAATGTTGGGTGGTCTCACTCTCACCATTTGTGATTGTAAAACACACACACACACACACACACACACACACACACACACACACACACACACACACACACACACACACACACATTTAATAATTTAATTGAAACTGGCGAGCAAGACTTACTCATTCCTGAGGTAAATCACTGTTATTTATTTGAAATACAAGTCAGAGGAAAAGAAAGAGAGGATAGGGGTGATACAGGTGAGGGCTGGACTACAGAAGGAATAAATTTACCTTTGTTCGTTAATGATCACGCGAGTGGTGGTGATGGTTTCAGGCTTGAGAAAAAATGTGTTATTATTACTATTATTATTATTATTATTGTTATTAGTATTATTTTTTTGGTTATTGTTCGGGCAGATCCTGGAGGTCCGGATTCCCCTTGTCATCAGAAAATTCCAATACTGTTCTTTAATGCAGTATTGTACTCTGGTGTTTTTGTATAGTAAAAAGTAATTACTATTGTCCTCGAAATATTTTCTTATGTCAAATAGTTATGGCCTTAAAATGGCCATAATATTGGTCAGATATAATGTTTTTCCTGGGGGAAGGGGGCTTACGGCAACCCCCCCCCCCCACAAAAAAAAACCAGCTGGGTGTGGTTATTCTTCTCGCCATGTTCCCTCCCACAACTTCTTGGCCCTCCTTTTGGTGTTCCTGCATCCGCCCCCGTTATTATTATTGTTGTTGTTGTTGTTATTATTATTATAGTTGTCACGATTGAAATTTTTGTTTTCATTATTATTATGGTTACTATAATTATTTTGTTGTTATCGTTACTAGTGTTTATTAAGATTATGAGAGAGAGAGAGAGAGAGAGAGAGAGAGAGAGAGAGAGAGAGAGAGAGAGATATTCTCTCAATACAATATTCAGACATTCACTCACGCGTCAATTATCATTCCTGTGACCTGTGTGCACTTGTGTGTGTAAATGACCTGTGTGTATGAACGTGACCTTTGTACACTGTTGTGTGTGTCCGTGTCCTGTGTACACTGTTGTGTGTGTGTTTCCTGTGTACACTGTTATCTGTACGTGACCTGTGTACACTGTTGTGTGTACGTGACCTGTGTACACTGTTGTCTGTGTACGTGACTTGTGTACCCTGTCGTCTATGTACGTGACCTGTAGGAGCAACGGATTCAAGTTGGATAAGTTTAGGTTTAGGAGGGAGATAGGAAGAAACTGGTTCACAAATAGGGTGGTGGACGAGTGGAACAAGCTTAGCAACTTTGTAGTAAGTGCTGGAACTCTGGAAAGTTTCAAAAGGAGGCTGGATAGATTCATGGATGATAGAGAGTGGTAGTAACTCTCGACAGGAGCTGCCATGCACAGGCCAACCGGCCTATTGAAGACTCCTTATTTTCTTATGTTCTTATGTGTGTACATGAGACATATCTCTCTCTTTTAAGGTCTGTTTCCGCTCCTTTTGGTCACAGTATCTGGTAACCCTGATTGGTGGGACATCATATAATCTGGAGTGCACTATATGTACGCAGTAAATATGCACGTTACTGACTTTGACTGTCCCATAGACCTTTTTCAAAGAGTATAATATTTATTATTATCATAGGTAAGGATACACTCACACACTGGCACACACCATCAGTTTCATTTCTAGGTTCTTACAACAATAAACATCGCTGTAGATTTTCACAATTTTTTCTCCAAGAAATCATAAAAATATAAGTATATATAAATAAATAAGTGAGGCCTCGGTATGTCACACAGTAAGAGGACTGAGACACGCGAGGTAGACGCGCCAACAGGTTTTCCCTCGCCTGTAATTTACGGTCCATCAGGTGTTGTGAAACACACGGTGCAGTACAGGTATATTGGGCTCTTAACCACTAGCTTTTCTTTCTTCCTGTGTACACGATTAAACTCCTTAACTTTATTTAACTTAACCTAACCTAACCTACCTTAAACTAATCTAACTTAACCAGCTTTAACCGAATTTAACCTAACCTTACATAACCTAACATAGCTTAAATTAACCTAATCTCAACTCAATCTAGCATAAGCAAACTTAACCAACTTAAACTAACCTAATTTATCCTAACTTAATCTAACCTAACCTAACCTAAATTAACCTAACCTAAGCTTAACCTGAGTCTAATCTAGCTTAACATTAACCTAACCTAACTTGGGACCTGACCTACTAGTCCAGGTATTACTAAGACAGGTACTGTACTTGATACTAACAGGTCCCAGTCCGTACAGATACTCTACACGTCATAACTTCAGTTCTTGAATTGAAGTCGACAGTCGTTTGTTTGTTGAAGTTGTTTTAAATGTTGACAACAGCATTTTATTGTGTGTATGGATTGTGTATGTATGTATGTATGTATGTATGTATGTATGTATGTATGTATGTATGGATAATGTGTGTGTGTGTGTGTGTGTGTGTGTGTGTGTGTGTGTGTGTGTGTGTGTGTGGGTCATTGTTAATCACCCTGACGCTAAGAAGGTGTTAAGTTTGGTTTGGGTTTAAATTAGTTAGTGTTAAATTAGATTTGTTTAGGATAGGCTTTTGGTTAAGTTAGATTAGTTTGTTTTGGTTAGTTTAGGTTTTGTTAGATAAGGTTAAATTGGGTTTAGGTTAAATTAAATTATATAGCTTGTTACGCTAGTTTAGTTTAGGTTTAAGTTAAATCAGGTTAGTTTGTTAGGTTAACATTAAGTAGGTTAGGTTAGGTTTAAATTAGATGGTTAGGTTATTATTAAGGTAGTTAAGTTTCAGGCAAAATGATTAAATCTTTTTATAAACTTGATTTATTTCTCATGTTTTAGTTTAACAAATTTATTGACAAAGCTTGTAGTACAGTTTGCCTATTGTGAGTAATTCAGTCAGGTCTTGACACTGAGGGTGGTATCACTTCTCACTGCCACGCAGGACAGAGGTTCATACACAAATCCATGTGGGTGATGTCACTGTTCACTGCCATGCAAGACAGTGGTTCATATACATTGGACTTCATATTCTAATTGAAGACTAATCAGTGTGGGCTAGCAAATTTGGGATAAACAGCAAGAATGTCCCTAAGTACCCCCGATTCAATGTAGTAATTACAAAGTTCATGATATAATAAGCCAGGTGGCCTGAAGTCTTTGACAGCGTCACATTCAATAATATAGTGTTCAAGTGTATGCTTTGAAAGTTTATCACAATGTTTACCTCAAAAGTCAGAAAAAAAAACAATGAGCGTGACGAGGTCCTCAATTTGTGATTAGGCGGAAGGAGAAGTTGGTCAGCGAGGTCTTTCACAACACACTTGGTTCAAGAATAGAGAGAAAGAAGAGAAAATAGAGAGAAAGAAGAGAGAAAGAAGAGAAATCGAGGGAAAGAAGAAAACAGAGAGAAAAAAAAGAGAAAATAGAGAGAAAGAAAAATAGAGAAAAAAGAGAAATAGAGAGAAATAAGACAAAAATCGAGGGAAAAATTGTGTGATGGCTGACAAACATTTCTAAACACCGTGGGAAGACTAAGCCTTTGTGTAGTGGATCATACCCCCTTTAGGATAGCATTTGAGTATGGGGGCTGGGCTACACTGGGCCTGGGGGCTGGGATACACTGGACCTGGGGGCTGGGCTACACTGGACCTGGGGGCTGGGATACACTGGACCTGGGGGCTGGGCTACACTGGACCTGGGGGCTGGGATACACTGTTTGTATTAACTAAGTCCCTTGATGTTTGTGTCGGCAGGACTATTGTGTGTGTTGGGACTGATTATTATTTCCATGTTTACAACTCTCGCCTCTTCACCACCTGGCTACATTGATTAAATTTTCTCTCCAGGTGACGTGTTTATTTAATGGGTACACAGCTGTATCAGAGGTAACTAGCTCTAGGTCAGTGACTGTTAGAAATGGCATAGAAGGACATGGCGAATTAAATTATGGTGACCAGCACACCTCCATATATCCATATTTCATTGGTAAGTCTCCCGCAATTTACGTAACATAATCTCGGTTAACTTACCTCAACCAAACTTAACCTCAATTAACTTCAAGTTAACTTAAGCTCAATTAAGTTCAACCTAAATTAACCTGTTAACTTAACTCAACCTAACTTAACCTTAATTAACTTAGTTGCATTAGTGTTTGTGTTGTACAACTAGTCTCTTAGTAAACTTTCTTAATTCATTGAGGCACCAACATGCCGATGATACAGTCACCTCATGGTAATAACCGTAGCTGTACCTGGTGAACAAACTCTCTGAACCAACTTTGAGTAACTCTGGGTCTTCTCATATTTAGGAATCCGTCATCTGGCTGATCTGACATGGGACGGCCCCAACTATCGGCCATTAGAGATCAGGGTAAGTAAACTACGGTAATCTTTATCCTCGAGTCTTCCTGGTAAATTGCTGAATCCTCCGGTCACTTAATTATTTTACTTACTTTCTGATCTTTACTTAATCTACTCCTTCAACTATGGCCGCTGCCTCTAGACCTCAGTACAGTATATGTGGTGTAGAACAAGAAATTGTTTTTTTTTCTTTTTCCTTTGGTAGCAGGCAGTGAAGTACAGCACTGTGAGTTCGAGGTTTTTCGTTAATCAGACCTGAGACTGGAAGGAAGGCTGAAACATCAGTCATCATTCTTAACTAATTTACTCTTAATAAAGTTGGACTTAGATGTATTAGTGATACTATACTCAGTCACAATACAAAAATAGTTGACCTTCCCCAAGCACTTCAGGTTACTTCTCTAACATACAAAAATAACTGACTTTCTCAATTTATGTCACTTTCTCTCAGTATAACCAAATAATGATTGTCATCTGAATAAAGGGATATTAAATAATACATACAGGTCATGTGACTGACTCTCAGCACCAAGTTAACACCCAGTGTTAACACAGTGTTAAGTGTTTGTTCCGGACTCCACAGTGTTAAGTGTTTGTTCCGGACTCCACAGTGTTAAGTGTTTGTTCCAGACTCCACAGTGTTAAGTGTTTGTTCCGGACTCCACAGTGTTAAGTGTTTGTTCCGGACTCCACAGTGTAAAGTGTTTGATCAATGTGGTTGTGTAATTTTGTCTTATATAAATGGTCTCGCTTCACTTAACTCTATAGTACCAATGCCTTACCTTTATATTTTTCCCATAGTTTACCTTTGAGTTCCATGGACGTGATCCGAGGGAGGCGACATACGATAATCTGGTAATAAATAGGACAGAGCCTTATCACATCATCTCGTTGGGCACCTACCACGGTACAGCTGGTGAGTGGTAGTTGTGTTGGGTGCATCATTACTGTATCAATCTGGGTATTTTGTATACTTTTGGCCTATATTCAGTGGCGGCTCGTGGCAAAAATGTATTAGTGGTACTGAAAGTTTCACATAACAACAGCACTAATGACATAAACTTGGCATACTCTGGAGTAGATAAATTTGGTGATTTCTTTCAACCTTTTCGTTTAATATCACTGGGGAGAAATTAATGTTTTGCAGGTATATTTCACACTATTCCATGATCACAAGTACAATAAAGTTGAATACACGGATACACATTGGATAAGGCTATGCGGTGAAGCTCACAGTACCAAAAGTGCACGACCCAACTTCACATGTAAAACATCAGTCACTGGGGCTGCAGCTCCAAGTTAACTAGTTAACCATACCATGCCTGTGCCAGATGGAAATGAAATGTGGAGTTGCTATGAATTTCACTTGAATTTGTTTTGTTTTTTAATGAAAATGTAGTTCGTATGTAATGGAAACATTAAAACTAATTAGTTACGAAATATTGGTTGTTAGTGTATAATTCAGCTGCATGTGTTGATGAATCATACGCCTGGTAGTGAGTGATGGAGGTGAGGGGTTGGGGGTGGATGAGCCGCCACTGCCTATATTGTACAGAAAAAAGAAAGATTGAGAAGCATAAAGTGTGTCAGAAAATGCTGTTGCACTTTTGTTGTTTTCAAGTACAGTGTGTACCTTAACTTAGGGAGATTCATTTTCCAGTACTTAATCAATTTATACCGAAGATTATTTCATATTTTACATAAGTAACAGTGATTCACTTGCTGGTAGCCCCAAGGTTTTGATAATACTATATGATCATTACTTGTGAACTCATTTCCATATACAGTTGCTGTACTCTACAAGTACGTTATCCTCTTTGCCACCAATTGGCTTGTTAGCCTCTTGGGTTTTTGGTCACATCTCTGTTATGCACTATTGGCAAGTAAGGGGCATGCACTAGCTCCAGGATGTATCTCACCTGCCCAGGTGTTGGTCAAGACTGGTCTTGAATGAGCTCACATTCGGTGCCATCTCAACACTCTGGCAGGTTGTTGAAAGAGTTTACAAATCTTATTCCTAAAAAGTTTGCTTTGACAATTTTCTGAACTTATGGCTTCTTGAGCTGTGACCTCTAGTGGGGTAAGGATCTGTCAGCTCCAGGTATGAACACTTGACTGAGTAGTGTCCTCTGAGATGTTTATACATTTCAATTAAGTCACCCCTTGACCGCCTATTGTATAAGCTATAGGCAGTTGCAGGTGTTCCATGTCTCAGGGTACTTGAGGTGCTGTAGTGCAGGCACCAGTCTGGTGGCCCTCCTTTGAACATTTTCAATCAACTTGACAGTCTCTAGCATATATCGGGGACCAGATGGGATGACTACTGTACTCCAAACGGGAAGCACCTCACTCAAAGAGCATTATGAGGGATTGACCATCTAGGTATCTGAACAACCTTTTTATAAGGACCTCAGTCTCCCAGCGAATGTTTGCCTTAAGGCCATAGATGGTGTGAGTGTAGCCTTTTCCGGTCACCTGAGCTTGACTGATGACACGTGACTCAGCTTCAATCAATAAAATGTTTACGGGTTAAGTTTGCAAAACCCAAATGGTCTTTTCTCCATTTATTTATGAAAAAATAGTGTCTGCCCAGGCAACAAAGATGTCACCGTAATGAACACCGTAAGCTGTGAGTGTCAGGGAATAGACGGTGAGCTTATCTGGGTAGCTCGTGAGTGTGTCTATGCTTTGTGAGAGGTGAGTGATAACTGGGGGTAAGCTGGCTCTGAAGAAAGTTTGGTCAGCTTCTTCAGGAAGGGCGCCCGCCAGTGGAAACTAGTGATCACATGGTCACTTCATGACATCTCACAGCTCATGGAACATTACAGTAGGTGAAGGATTTATATAAATCTGATGTATTAACCCATATTTAGACAGGGGCTAATACATGAGGCTTATTTTGGAAAACCTTTACTCGAAATTTTGTTTATTAAATGCAATTTTTTTTACAAGCTAAATTTCTTCTGGGGGGTGAATTTACCTTTCCTTTACACCACTATAATTTAGAGGTCGTGAACGATTACAGTGAACATCTTTATTATTTCGAGAGTTTTGTTTATTTAAAAGTTGATAACCTTTAACTTTTTTATATTTCTAGCTTGGAGGCTTAGGTTAGGTTAGGTTGATTACTATTAAAGTCAGATAAACTGGGGACTAATCCTCAGGTGATTCATTCATTAAAGTGGAATGAATTCTTAATTTGTAATGAATTTTTTAAAGATATTTGAGAGTTGAAGGAGTGTTGACGCACCTCAGTAACAGGGCATTTGTTTCTATATAATATGAGATTTTCATAAGCTGTCTGAATCTTCGTGTTTCAGGTGATGGCCTCAGAGACTGTGTTGGAAAGGACTTTCTTGCCAGCGATCATAACTGGTGGTGGGATAATGTAAGTAACCTAGCCTAACCTTAACTATCCTAACATAGTTTTGAATTATGTAACTTAACCTTATCTTACCAAATAGCATTACCTAACCTAATGTTGAATGGTACAGAAGCAAGATGAGAAGTATTCAAAATAACCATGAAGTTGTTGATGAATAGTGTGTGAGAAATGATCATGGTGATGTGGCTGTTGATAATGAAATAAAAGATGCTTGGAGAAAATGCTTTGATTTATGACTGAGTGAAGACTACAAATGGGATGGGCAGCTTTGTGGTAGAAGAATCAGTACAGGCGCCATGCCCAAAGGTTGAAAGAGAACGGGTAAAGATATCGATTGACAAAATGAAAAATGGAAACTCTGGGATAGTTACAGAAATGCATAAAGCTTCAAGTGATAATTTTATAGTTACAGAAATGCATAAAGCTTCAAGTGATAATTTTATAGTTACAGAAATGCATAAAGCTTCAAGTGATAATTTTATAGTTACAGAAATGCATAAAGCTTCAAGTGATAATTTTATATACATGTTAGTAGTGACCAAATTGACTAATACAATCATGGTGGAATGTACTGTTGCAGACAACTGGGAGAAGAGTGTTATCATTAATACTTAAAGATCAAAGGTGATGCACATGAACATAGGAACTACAGGGACTTAAAACTGCTACGATAGATCAGGTTATGAAAAACAAGAGAGTAAACATAATCAAGATACAGTTTGGATTTATACTAGGTGGGAGGACTGTAGAGACAATATTTATGGTCAGGCAGCTACACGAGAAATATCTAGGAAAACTTTACTTAGTATTTCTAGACTTATACTTTGACAGGGTAAAGTGTAGTAAAGTGGGTAATGGGAGAGCTAGGAATCAAGTACTTGCATTGATTGAGTGGTTATGGCTTTATATGAAGGCTCCAAACCTGTGTGAGTGTAAATGGTGAATAATTTTAGGTAAAAGTAGGGGTCCGTCAGGTGTGTGTTGAGCCTCCCTCTGTTTATCACGGGACTTTAAGTCTGGTCTGTCCTGGGAATTGTTGTATGCTGATGGCAGATAGTACTGAAGAGGCAGTGGGGATATTTAAGATATGGAAGGATGGAATAAAGTTAAGGAGCCTGAGAGTGAATGTGTGAAAACAAATGTGGCATTTGTGAGGGTCCTGTGGTGGAAATAGAAAATAGCCAAGAACAGGGTAACATGACCCACTGCTTAACCTTGAGACTACAGTGGGGCTATGGGTGTCCAGGTCCCATGTGTGTGTGTGTGTGTGTAATAATAATAAACAGTTTATTAATAGAGTTGCAGCCGGTGGCTGAAAATATACAAACTTACATGTGATTTTGACATAATAATATACGTTCAATACATTTACAGGGCTGTACAGTACATAAATCAGGAGCTGTTTATTATTTTAGCAATAGATGGGATGGTGCTATTCTTATATCTATCAGTGCGGGCTCTTATGGGTTGAATTTTGTTGTAGTGGCGGACTGCGCGAGGTGGGCGGGGGACTGCTGGTGGCAGTAAGTGGCGATGACGAGGATGGTGCAGTAGTCCACTGCCAAACCCTGCTAGTGCATGGTGGTGGAGGTCACTAAGAGATGGCATTTCCAGGGTGGAGAGAGCGTTGTTGTAGCCGGAGTAGTCTGCGCAGAGCATGATTCTGCAGGCCCTCTTCTGTACCTTCTCTAGCCAACATTGTTGGGTAGAGTTGAGAGAAGACGACCAGGCTGGTGACGCATACGTTAATTTGGGGAGTATAAATGCGTTGTAGATAGTCCTCAGCTCTGGCGTGGGTGCCCCAAGTTACCTGAATCGTCGTAGCATGTAGAGTCGGTACGAGGCTGCCCTGATTGTGTTGTTTTCATGGGCCTTCCAGTCCAGTTTGTGGTCTATGGTAACACCCAGGAGTTTGGCAGACTGCACTAACTGGAGAGGATGGGCACCCACTGTAACTGCTGGAGCTTGCACTGGAGTGGTGGCGGTATTGATGTGCATGACTCCGGTTTTTTTGTGATTGATGGTGACCTTGTTCTCCATAGTCCATGCCTGTAGCCTGTCCAGGGTGCCTTGTAACGATGAGTAGTCTGGTGAGGTGCTGTCCACTGTAACCCCCACAGTGCAGTCATCCACGTACTTCCACCTGTGAGGAGTGTCCGATAGAGCGTCGTTGATCAGGATTAGGAAGCACAGTGGTCCCATCTTGGTCCCCCGGGGAACACCGCAGGTGAGGTGTTGGAATGTGGAGACAGAACCCTGGTACCTCACTGCCTGACGAAACTCACACAGGAACTCAGTGAGCCATGAGACCAGTTAGGTGGGCAACCCTAGTGCAATGGTCTTGTTGATAACAGTGCAGTGATCAACAAGGTCAAAAGCCTTCCTGAACTCAACAAGGGCAACGGCCAGTGGTGTCTTACGTTTATCCAGGTTTTTGTGCAGAAAGTCCAGGAAACTAACTAAGCAGTGTGATGTAGAGGAGGTCCTCATATTGCTTCCAATATCGTCCCAGGCAGTACTACCTTTACTTGATGACACTTGTTGCTTTTATTTACTGTATTTTGTCATTCAATTTCTTTTATCTTAAATTAAGTGATCTTAGTGTATACAAGGACAGGCTGGGATACAGTGGGATTTTAAACATTGTTCTGTAAATACAATATAGCCTACACATAGGGTGTGTGTTTTGACTTGAGTACATTTGGTTACATAAGAACGTCCATAGGAACATAACTCTTGCATAACCCAGGATAAATATTGTTGTACAGTCAATAAGATAAGTATCCACCCAATGTCTGTGGAATGGTAACTGAGAGAACAACCAACTGACGCCGGTAACCGCTGGTATGCGTTTACAGTTTTCACACGATGTTTCATGTTGTTAAACACGTCAGGGTGGTCAATACTTTTTTTATTGGCTGTGCATAAACAATTATTACTTAAGCTTAGAGTATGACACTGAAGCGGTACATGTACCATATTAATACAATACACGCCATTACTGTACTGTGCTTCTATTTTTATTATATACTCTGTGCCACAACAGAGTATCAGGTCGTCAGCTGTCATGTTTGAAATATTTTATTATGTATCTGTATAATGAGTGTTTGGTCACTCAGTATTAATATTTACAATTTATTTAGTATATTTTTATCTATTCAACTAAAATCTCTTTCCCACAGACTAAAGTAAATGTGTCAGCAAGAAAGTGGGCTTCTTTTTCTAACATCGCAAAGTTTAACATCTCTGTTCGGCCCATGGACTATGATAGAGGTACTGTAATGTCTTTATTTGTGTTTCTTATAATCTACCTGCTATTGTTTTAGTTTGTGTTTGTGTGTGGAGGCGGGTTGTACAAGCTTTAACAATAATTTGCAACTGTAAATCATTGCCAATATATTTTGGATTTATGATAAAAATTGCGGAGATCGTTGATGACAAAGTTAAGACCAGAATCAGTGAATTTGGCAGATGACTGTAGACATATGTGCAGTACAGTACAGTATGGTACAGTAGTAGACTTATTTAAAAGTTTTCCATTGTGTGTGGTGGTCAGTGATAGTGTGTCACCATCATCACTACATTTCACCACCACCGCTACCTTTCACCACCACCACCACCACTATCTTTCACCACCACCACCACTACCTTTCACCACCACCATCTTTTACCACCACCACTATCTTTCACCACCACTACCTTTCACCACCACCACTACCTTTCACCATCACTACCGCCACCTTTCACCACCATTCTCCACTACCACCATTGTCCACCACCACCTTTCACCACCATTCTCCACTACCACCATTGTCCACCACCACCTTTCACCACCATTATAATGAGGTTAAATCTCCTATGAAGAGGTAAGGTCGGTAGTAGTACTGTAAAGTCGGAGAGTGAAGGAAATAGGTAGCGTGACTCGAGGGCGTGAAGATAATGCTGTACAGTAACACAGGCGCCGTACAGGTGTAGTATATAAAACACCAATGCGTGTTACAGGTTTATTTTACTAGTTCAATAGGGGGGATTAATGGGGGTTCATACACAATATATAATAGACTATGATATTTTCCTATAACCTAATAAGTATAATGGGCATATCCATTAAGTCGACACACCCAGATTAGTGTTAATTAGGAGAGGTCATCTACCGGCTGGAGATCTCCAATATTAAGGCCCTACAGTTCCTTCCACATGATTGTTCTTGTAACCGTGAAGGGCCAGCAACACACGTCCTCACTCCCGGTCGTCGTACCATCGAAGAAGTCCGTCACTAAGTGCAACGAGGTCTCAGCCCGGTCCATCGACGGTGTGCTACCCTCTCATCGTGTCAAAGTAAGTGCTGGCTGTGTAGACGATGGTAGTGCGGTGATCCTGAACCTCCCCAACGGTCGACTTAATGGATATGCCCATTATACTTATTAGGTTATAGGAAAATATCATAGTCTATTATATATTGTGTATGAACCCCCATAAATCCCCCCTATTGAACTAGTAAAATAAACCTGTAACACGCATTTGTGTTTTATATACTACACCTGTACGGAGCCAATTTCTACCCATACAGACTCGGTTCGTATTTCACCATTTATTGAATTATTAATACAACATTTTAATGTATCCCTGACGAAGAGTGCGACCCTTCCCCCCTTCCTACCTTCCCTGTCCTTGTGAAAAAGGTTGTACCCTTCTATGTGGTACTCTGATAAAAAGTTCTTGCTCGCCAGATTCTTCTAAGTTTCGGTGATTGCTATGACGTCTACATTCTCGGTACATACAACCGCTCTCAGCAAGTCTATTTTATTTCTAACGCTCCTACTGTTTGTATAGTATACATTTAAACCTATCCTTCCCTGGTCCCGTTTTACCCTGGTCCTGAGTAACCAATTTTACTCCCCAGGACCTGCTTGTTTTTTTGACTCCCACTTACCCTGACCTCTCTCTACTGTCAACCGCCCCCCCCCCTCCCCCTTTGGAGTGACAATTTCACGATCCAGGGATGCAGACAACGTCTTTACCCCCGCGCGAGACAAGTGTACTCCGTCACGACTGTACAGGTAGTCGTTGCCATAGGATGGTTGCCTATCAATGAATGCCCATCAATGAATGCCCAACCATTGCTTGCACAATGTTTTTTCCAGTCGGCAATTTATAGAAATTGCCCTGGACAGCCATTCACAACCAACTCCACTTCTAGGCAAGACACCACATACTATCGGGATCCCTCCCCTATCTCTAACCTTCCCCAGCGCCTCTCTATACCTCTTGAAAAGTTCCTCACTCCTAACCTTTCCTATGTCGTTACCTCCCACACTAAGACACACTACTGACTTGGTACCCTCCCCTGACAAAACCCTATCTATCCTCTCCGCTACATGCCCTATCCCAGCCCCAGGAAAACACACCCTAGTCCTACGTTTCCTGTCTCTCGCACAAAAAGTCCTATCTAAGAACCTCATCTGGCTGTCCCCAACAACCACAACCCTACCACAGGGCAGGGTCTGAACAACTGCCCCTTTCTCTCCTGGCACCACACCGTCCTGCCTCTTCTCTTCCTCGTCAGCTTCCTCCAACACTTGGTAGGGGTTACTGCACTCCACACCCTGGTCAGCTTTCCTGAGTCTGACCCTAGTCCCCTTGGAGACAACCACTCTCCTCGCCTGCTCCTCCTAACCCTCCTTCACAGGTGTCCTGCCTAGGAGTTCAGTCCTGGGGGCTTCGTTCTCCCCCTTTAACACGCCCATCTCTCTCCTCAACTGCTCCAGCTGACTTAACAAAGTGGCCAGGGGGCCGTCTTTCCTCACACACCGTCCCTCTTCCCAAGCGTCAGGTAACAGAAGTGCTGGCTGGATAGCAGTTCCTTGAATTATCAAGGTTATGACGCCGGGTTAAGCTAATCGCATGGCGGTGAGAATTCTGGTTCCCTTTGTGACCTTTACCTCCTTTTGGGTCAGGTCTATATCTCACCTTAGTCACTGTAGGGTGTGTCAACCTCCGTGCTCTCCTGGTTACTGCTAAGTTTATGTTACACTACTGGCCTGGATGCCTTGGTCTGATAGATAAATATTATACCACCTTTCACCACCATTCTTCACCACCACCTTTCACCACCATTCTCCACCACCACCTTTTACCACCATCCCCACCGCTACCGCCTTTCATCACCATTCTCCACCACCACCTTTTACCACCATCCCCACCGCTACCGCCTTTCATCACCATTCTCCACCACCACCTTTTACCACCATCCCCACCGCCTACCTCCTTCCACCATCATTCTTCACCATTCCAACCACTACCACCACTAATTACTGACATTCCAACAGAGACAAACTGCCCACCTCAGTTTGGTTGGGAACCAAGTTGGTTTTCTCACACCAAAGTTCATATTCCAATGACGCGGTCTGTAGGAACGGTTGTCAAATACCGGTGTGAGGGCGAGTTGTTCATGGCAGGCAATGGGACTACAGTAGCCCAGAAGCACAGACACGAAAATGCCTCCTGTGTTAACGGAACAGATGGATCACTGGTGTGGGATAATGAGTTCTTCCTGCCATGTGAACGTGAGTATGATAGTTGTCTATTGCGTGTGTTGGAGGTAACCTAACCTAACCAGGCAGCGCTAGGTTGTTCAATCCTCACCTGCCTGGGGTTAATCTTCAGGTGATCCCAGATTGTATTCATATTTGGTAGAGGCAACAGACTCCTCAACTCTGCTACACATCAAATGAATTTTCATATGAAAAATATAGTTGTATAACGGCCATTTTACTTACCTGGACGGTTGACTGTATGGACTCTGGTAGGGAAATTTATTTCATTGTCTTACTTAAATGTGAGTGCGAAATATATATATAAATATTTTTTTGAAGCCAGACATATAAATGACATGGATATTTTTTTATTTGTGAATATTTAAAAGTGCGATACAATCAACCACCAAAGGCCTTTCGCTGCTCCCCTGAACCCCGAGAGATTCAGACTCATAAATCTGAAACATTTATGGACAGTAATGTATCAGTCTGCTGTCTTCAGGTTCATGAGGCTCGGGGCACAGGTTCAGGGAGAGCAGCGAATGGACTTCAGTGGTTGACTGTACTTTGTATTGTACTGTAGTTTAAAGTACATAACTGCTTGCTTAGATTTAATTACTGTACAGTAAACAGATGTCATTGCAAACGTTTCTTTGTTTAATTCTGAACGTGAAAGATTTTTTTTTTAATGTGCAATATAAATTTCATAAACAATGTTTGTGTGAATTTAAACGTTACCGGTGATGGGCAGCTGGTGATGATAATGACAGTTATGATGATATTGACAATGATGATGACGACAAACATGACTTAAATATGAATATAATGTTGGTTTAAAGGTACAGCATATACAATACTGGTAGATATATGATCACTATTTAATACTGTACTGTATGTTGATCTTGCAGATTTTAATATAAAAGTGAAGTACAGTACTGCATTAATTTAAATAAATCAATATAGTTCAAAATATCACTGTGTTGAAGGTTAAATGTGGGATAAATGCTGAGGAAGTAACTATGAAACGGTGTTAAATGTCTTATCATTTTTACAGTGACGTGTCCAGACAATTATACAACTACAGTGGATGGAACTTCTTGTGTCAGGTTCTCCGATGATGAGGCAGTCCACGGCATCACCACGGCCTCACTCAAGTATTGTATCATATTTCACTCTTGTGTATTCTGGTTAGGTAGAGTTAGGTGAGGTGAAGTTAGATAAGGTTAAGTTAGTTTAGGGTAGATTAGGTTAAGTTAGTTTAGATTCACTATATTCTGGTTAGTTTAAGTTAGGTTAGATTATGTTAGAAGTTATGTTAGTTAAGATAATACATATAATTCTGGTTGGCATTTTCAGTCTTCGTAAATACTGTGCTGTTCGTCAGCCCTGATGTTTATTATTTATTTACCGGTGATTGAGTCAGGTTGTTGGTACTAATGCACATATAACCTGACCTGACCTAAGCTAAGCTAAGCTAACTTGACCTATCCTAACTAAAACTAACCTAAGCCAACCTGACCTGACCTGACCTAAGCTAACCTAACCTGACCTAAGCTAACCTAACCTAACCTAACTCAATCTAACTTAACCCATCCTGACCTGACCTAACCTAACCCATCCTGACCTGACCTAACCTACATGTTATTCTTGTTTGAGCTCATTAAATGTCACTTTCCTCATCTGTCTTATCTGTTGTTTCTGTTTGTCCCGTTGTTTCTGTTATTTGTCCTGTTATGTGAGGTTTTAGCGCCCTCTTTTAACCTGCTTGTCGTTAAAGTTATACAGTATCAATAGGTGAAGCTGCTACTGTATTTACTAAGGCTGCTACTGTATTTACTAAGGCTGGTACTGTATTTACTAAGGCTGGTACTGTATTTACTAAGGCTGGTACTGTATTTACTAAGGCTGGTACTGTATTTACTAAGGCTGGTACTGTATTTACTAAGGCTGGTACTGTATTTACTAAGGCTGGTACTGTATTTACTAAGGCTGGTACTGTATTTATTAAGGCTGGTACTGTATTTACTAAGGCTGGTACTGTATTTACTAAGGCTGGTACTGTATTTACTAAGGCTGCTACTGTATTTACTAAGGCTGCTACTGTATTTACTATGGCTGGTACTGTATTTACTAAGGCTGGTACTGTATTTAATGTATTGTATATGCAAGTGTCTCGTTACAGTACATAAATACAGTAAAGATAAATGTAATTAAAAATGGGTTATATTCTTGCCTACTATTGACACTTAAGTTTATTTATTCAGGTTTTATGCATGCTTCAGATATTGTACTGAATATTATCTATAGTATTAAATTAATATGTGGTTCTTGTAAACTAAAGGACCAGAATATGTGGTTCTTGTTAACTGATGGACCAGAATATGTGGTTCTTGTTAACTGATGGACCAGAATATGTGGTTCTTGTTAACTGATGGACCAGAATATGTGGTTCTTGTTAACTGATGGACCAGAATATGTGGTTCTTGCTAAGGACCAGATGATACTTACGCACAGTTTCTTTGCAGGTGCCACAGGGAATTAGCATCTATGGCAGTGTGGAAGAAGTATGGAAACCACAGCAATATACTGGATGACCAATACTATTACACTGCCCATGTCAGGTATCTAGGGAGTAGAGTAACACAGAGGGGGGGGGAGAGGAGAGAGAGAGAGAGAAGAGAGAAGAGAGAGAGAGAGAGAGAGAGAGAGAGAGAAGAGAGAGAGAGAGAGAAGAGAGAGAGAGAGAGAGAGAGACTCAGCAAAATTAATCAAGCTTTAATTTTATCTTAATTAAATATATCCCATCTAAATCAGATTTACCCAAAACTGTTAAATGCATCTGACCCAAGAACTAGAGAATTGTTCTTGTCATTCATTAGTAATATATTGAAAATTAGCAATTATATTTAACTGTAATTTAACCAGACTTAAACAATACATTTGAGTTAAAAGATCAACCACCCTAATTATAGTTTAACCTAACCCAGGAAGCGTTAGAATGGTTAACCCTAAGGTGACATAAGTTGGAGGCTAATCTGGGGTTAGCTGATCCAGGTTACACAGTACAGGTAACCCCTCGTTTAGTGATCGGTGTTTCAGGAATGCATGCCCATCACTAAATGATGGATACCTGTACAGTACTTGGGTCACAGCTCAAGGTTGAAGAAGCCACAAGTCCAGAAAACTGCGAGGACAAACTTTTTTGAAGTGAGAGTTGTGAACTCTTGGAACAATCTGTCAGAGAGTGTTGTGACGGCACCGAGTGTGAGCTCTTTCAGGACCAGACCTAACCAACACTGGAGCGGGTTCAGGTACATTCAGGAGCTGGTGCATGCCCAGTAATTGCCAACAGTGTGTAACAGAGACGTGACCGATCGCCCAAGCAGCTAACGAGCCGATCAGTGGTGAAGAGGATAAAATAAATTAAAAAAATAAAAATAAATGAAAACAAATTAAGGCTAATATAGCTTGATTACACCTTTTTCTTTTTTTAAGTGTGAATGAAATTCTACTTGTACAGTCACCGACGAAGGTCCTGTCGCCTCTGCCGCTGAACCACAAACCCCGAGATTCAGACTCTTAAATCCAAATAATTTATGTAAAGAATAATCCATCAGTGTCTACTGCTTCAGGTTTGTGAGTCTGAATCTTGGGGTTCAAAGAACAGCAGGAGAGGCACCGGAGTTTTGTGGGTGAATGTACAGTCTCGTTCAAGATTCTTCGAACACTGCTGGAGACAGATGGCAACTCAAGGCCGTTTGTTTACTATAGTACGTAGTAAAAATTATGAATAAATGTAAAAGTGTTCGGTGATTGGCTACTTAGTTCCCCGTTGCTTAATTTAATGGTTGGGCTTTGTTGTTTCGTATTATATTAACGAACGGCCTTGAGTTGCCAGCTGTCTCCAGCAGTGTTCGAAGAATCTTGAACGAGACTGTATACATCATTATTCATTGATTCCTTTCACAATATTTTCCACGTTACTTACCCTCTATGTTGTACATTATTCATTTCAGGAATGGCAATATATTTGAGGGAAACGGTTTACAACAAGGTGAATGTTCTCCTAATGAGAACTGTGAGGTGAGTGATACTGTAATGATGATATAGTATAATAGTAATGGTGGTCCTAATAGTAATAATGCAGGCACTCATAATGATAATACTCACCAAGTAATAACTCACCTCTTGTCTGCATTCTTCATTCATTTTAACAGAACTTTCTTCTCTTCGTCACTCTTGCTTTCACCTCTCTTAATATGTCTTATGATAACTACTAAACACACATGATAGCTAATTTATTAATTGACTATGAATTAGTTTTTCTCTTCCTACAAACTCTTGAACAGAAGTTTCATTCTCCCCATATAAATTTGGGTCAGCATTTACGTTACTACTTGAGGCACTCCCATCGATAGTGACAAATCAAAGAATGGCGCCCAAATCTTGTTTCAACAGGAAGCCCGACTCTTTCTCTACCCAATGCAGTAAAGCCTCAAATAACGACGTTAATGTGTCCTCAAATATTGCAGTGTAAGGTGAATCATCGTATAAAATAAAGCAATAATAATGAGATGCGTTTCCGAGTGTGACCTTTTCATAACTTGTGTAATGTGTATGGCTTTTAATCCTCTTTTCCCCAAAACAATACGATTAATGAAAATTGCAAACTATATGCCACTGTATACTTACAATGGCTTTCAACAGGCATGTTATTCTGGCATAGAGAGTGAGGGAAACAGTAGGTTCTGTTTCTAGTTCAGGCTGATGTTGTGTTGGGGTTGTAAAAATAAACTATAAATGAGAACCAAAAATGCTATTGATCATTAATGTTGTCTTTATATTAATGATGTAACACATAATTATTGTAGAAAAACACTTAGACATTAGCTGGTCATGCGTAATGTGCTGTGTTAATGGTGCTAGACATTAAAGCACCTGTGTGTGTGTGTTCCAACAGGCCGTGAGTCACCAGGGCTGCTTGACTTTGGCTTTTAATTCTGTGGGTTCCCAAAGGTGGCGCGCACAGGAGTGTGTTCGTAATCAGACACGCTACATCTGTATGAGGCCAGGTCAGTCTTCGTCCTAAGAGTCAGGTCAGGACATTTACAGTGCCCATGAGTTCAGGTCAGGAATATTTACAGTGTCCATGAGGTCAGGTTGGGATATTTACAGTGTCTTTGAGGTCAGGTCATGGGACATTTACAGTGTGTTTAAGGTCAGGTCATGGGACATTTACAGTGTGTTTAAGGTCAGGTCATGGGACATTTACAGTGTGTTTAAGGTCAGGTCATGGAACATTTACAGTGTTTAAGGTCAGGTCATGGAACATTTACAGTGTGTTTAAGGTCAGGTCATGGGACATTTACAGTGTGTTTAAGGTCAGGTCATGGGACATTTACAGTGTGTTTTAGGTCAGGTCATGGGACATTTACATTGTGTTTTAGGTCAGGTCATGGGACATTTACAGTGTGTTTAAGGTCAGGTCATGGAACATTTACAGTGTGTTTAAGGTCAGGTCATGGGACATTTACAGTGTGTTTAAGGTCAGGTCATGGGACATTTACAGTGGAAGAAATAAAAACAAATAAAGTTAAAAGTATAATTGTGTGTGAATATCATAGTGATGGTAGATAGTGTTGTGTGTGTTGGAGGTACAGTGGTAACACATTTGCTTCTCAATACTGAGCCCTGGGTTCAGTTCCAGGGTTGAAAGTGAGAAGTATGTTATCTCATGTGCCACCACCACACATAGCGGGTTTTCTTTGGGTCATATCAGACTAATGACCAACTGCCTGGCTGGCTAGAGAGCTGACCATTGGTGAAAAGAATAAGGTAGGATAAGGTAGGTGCAGTGTACAATATACATACACACTATAGGTTCACAAAACTTTACCAAGAATGTATAATTTAATTTGTCCCACAGCGTACTGTCACGGCTCATACAAACCCTACAAAGGTCTCTGCTATAAGGTGGTACCAGCCAGTTCCTACAGTCGTGACACAGAAAAGCATGAGACGAACCACTTACGAGCCCTTAATTATTGTGCTAATGAGGGTGCATCTTTGGCCTATCCGGAAAGTATAGATGAACTCGTGCACTTGGCAACACTGATTAGGGTAAGTACCTCTCTCTCTCTCTCTTTAATTTTTCTCTCATATTTTCTCTTTCTTGCTCTCTCTCTCTCTCTGTCTATCATAGGTGGTTGCCATGTTGAACCATACATAAGTACAGTAAATTCAGACAGAATACCAAAAATAAAGTGTCACTTTTTCTCGATAAGTGAAACAGAGCAGAAATATACATGTAAATCAAAGTCTGACAGTACAGCACTGATAGTATTGAAAAAAAAATCATCATCTCAATAGCCATTTGAGTGGTTAGTCTATCCAGTGCTAGTTTGACATGATGGGGTTATTCCTAGAGGCTCCTTGCTGGACGTACATCAAGTATTGCTTCCCAGTTTTATTAATTTTTTCATCCACTTTCCTCAGTTGATAATGTACTGGTAACTCTGTGCTGTTTTAAAGATTTAATTTGATCCTTTTATTGTTATTCCAATGAATCATCACTACTGTACCAAAAATTTGTTTTCCTTTTTTCAATTTGTTTCTCCTGATCTGTAATCTCAATGTTTGTCCAGTTGTAAACCAAATTACCTGTTCTGCACCCCATTACACAACTAATTTCTTAAACTCCCTATACTACACATTTAGGAAGAGGGAGCATGGGACTCCACGGAGAAGAATGTCCTAATAGGACTCAATAAGAGGTGAGATATTTGTGACTATTATTATAATAATAATAACTTAATTACTTTATTGATATAGGGGCTTGATGATGATACCGGGTAATGATGACAATGACAATAAAGATGATGCTTGAGAGTGAGAAAGGTATTGTTGGAGAACTGCTTGACTAGTCTCCAAGGACAGTATTAACATATTACATCCTGAAGGCTCTAGAATGTGGATATTTACCATAAAAGTTGTACCTCTTAGGGGCCTCCGAGGGGAAGCCATATGGGAAGTTGCGGGTTTGTCCACGTTAATGATTCATGTTCAAGATTCACAAAAAATCGAGTTCATATAATTTTAATATTTGTTTTCTTTGATATTGTGAGTGATTGTTGTGTCATATTACATGTTCTTCTTTTGTGTTGAAAATTAAGTACAGTCAGTTTGTAAGGAAAATTATAACATTCTAACCTTTGTAAAGCCAATTCCAGGTCTATTAGTGCAGTATAAATTCTATTAAATATCCTCAATATTGGCCAACAGAATTATTGTGCATACTAAGTTAGAAGTGAACACAGTACAGTAGTTCAAGGTCTGATATTTTAATTCAGACTTTTATTAGAAGCAACAAGCAGAATGCAACATTTTAACAAGTAAAGATGATCAAGTCTGTTAATGAGTGTGTTGTTTTATGCTATGAGAACCCAGCTGACGGTAACTTTAGGTAGATCTGAATTTTAAATTGGCAGTATTTGTAAGTAGGCCTACACTGAATACAATAACTGTATCCCTCCAGGGGTGGTGATTGGACAGCTGGAGGAGTGTACTCACCAGACAGTGAGGTGATAGACCTGGCAGAGAATGTGTCTACGAAGTATTGGATGAGGTACCTGACAATAAGAAATGACAATACCATCACTCTCACCCCAGCACGACTGATTACCAACATTGGTGTGAGCGTCCACTATGCCATCTGTCAGTTGTACGGGCTTACTGGTGAGTGGCTGACATGTCTTACCCAGGAGAGATTGACTGTATTGAATACTCTACAGTACAGGTATCCTTCATTTGGAATGCTTTTAAGAATTACACCTCCAGATCCCATTGTGATTCTTGCAACCATTCAACAACGGCCCCGGATGTAGTAAATAACCAGCAGGGATCATATACGAAACGATGGCACCGATGCTGCCTGATTAATGTGCCCCACGGCTTCGTTGGGCCAGACCCCAGACCCGCCATGTGTCTGGCTACCCCACAATAACAACAGTCGTGTGAGCCCCAGTGCTCTACCCTGGGTTACTCCTTGGAAGTATATGTCCACAGAGAGTGTTGTGACATGTATGTTAGGGATAATTAGATGGAAATAATTATCCCATGTTGGGTAGTGGACCCCTGTATATGCTAATGTCATTAACGTATATGTTGAGTAAAATAATCTACAATGAGTGCCATGTAATGTAACACCAGTAATGTTGTGAGTAAGAGTAAAGAAGTAGGAACTGAGTTTGCACTAAGCCCAGGAGTTGAGCCTGGTAGTTATATAATTAATACAATATCTTTCCCCATTGATTGCATATTAATAAACTTGTTTTTAGAGTACTTTAGGTGTATTCCTTTCTCCCACAGTATTTTACCTTTATTTCCATCCAAGTGACTTGATACCAGAATTACCCTACCCATGCGCCTAGACCCTCGACCATGCTACCAAAAAGAATGTCCATGCTACCAAAAGAATGTCCATGCTACCAAAAGAATGTCCATGCTACCAAAAGAATAGGTGGTTGAACTGAGTAAGAGTAAGACTAAGAGAAGTAAGTAAGATGAGGGTGGTGTAGATATATAGAGGGAACCCGCGCCCTCACATTGGTGGCAGCTTGTTTGTTGTTACCCCTCACTTTTTCGGAGTGAGAGTTGTGAACTCTTGGAACAATCTGCCAGAAAGTGTTGTGACGACACCGAGTGTGAGCTCTTTCAAGACCAGACTTGACCAACACTGGAGCAGGTTCAGGTACATTCAGGAGCTGGTGCATGCCCAGTACTTGCCAACAGTGCGTGACAGAGACGTGACCGACCACCTAAGCAGCTAACGAGCCGATCAGTGGTGAAGAGGATTAAAGTAAAAGTAAAAAAAAAAAAGTAGACAATCAAATTATTAATTGTCCTGGTTTTATAAAATAACCAATACATAACATAGTTCATCTGCATAACTAAACTTACCAGGTTTAGAATGAGGTGCAATAAAAGAATACCAGAGCAAAATTTATAAATCTGCATCACATCATGGTCTGTAAACGCACATCCTATTGTCTAAGTTCATGTGAACGTTCCGTAGAAGAGAGAGAGAGAACTCGTGCTCGCGTGAGTGCTGGCGCCCGCAAACACTAAAACCTAAGAATGATGTGGAAGCAATTTTGAGATCATACAAATATAAGAGAATGATTTAAGAAAGTGAGGGATACAGAGATAAGAGAGATAACATAAGATTATCTCTTACAGGCTGTGTAGATGTTTTACCAGAACCAACAGTCAACATGAGCAGGAACTGGCCTTCCAACTCTTCCTATGTAGACGTTACAGTCCGATATATGTGAGTACAGTACAGCATTATCTTCAACACTGTTGGGATAGAGTCGAGGACATTTTAATTCACTGAAGGTCACTTGTTTTGGTGGTTCATCTAATCCTTGTCTGCAGTAATGTTGATGAATTTTTGTTCTTATTCATTACCTTTTTAAGCACTATATCGTAGAATACACAACTTAGTCTTTTGAACGCATTGATGGTAATCCCTCTGTTAAATGATACATCAGGTATACAGTCGATGAATTCAGTTAAAAAAGGCAAAGTATTGAAGCTCGTAATCAAACTGTTTCAGAGGATATATTGAGTTTTTTAAAAATGATGATTTTAGTTCTTAAAACTTAGCATTTTTAAGTCTTACAATAAAAGAATGCACAATAGTTGTTAACTCTTCTAAAATGCTTTCAGGAAGGTTTTACACACACACACATCACGCACACATCACGCACGCACGCACGCACGCACGCACACACACACACACACACACACACACACACACACACACACACACACACACACACACACACACACACACACACACATAACACACACACATAACACACACACACACACAAACACACACATAACACACACACACACACACACACACATAACACACACACACACACAAACACACACACACACACACACACACACACACACACACACACACACACACACACACAAAACACACACACACACACAAAACACACACACACACACATACACAAAACCGTTTTTGATAAGGTCACCAAATGAACATTAATGTTTCTGTAACTTATAAAAACAGACACAGTTTGATTTATGATCATTTTGACTTATCAGGTGTTTTTCAGGAGACCTTTTGTATATTTGGGAATGCCTCTCTTTATCATGTCATTTTTTAATAGATATTCTGATTTAGATCTTTTCTTTGTTCCTCACAGCTGCTACCCCGGCTACTTCACTGATGGCGACGTCAGCTTAACACAACAAAAGATACATTGTGGCGGTCCTTTTGGCCTCTGGGGTTTAAGAGAGTTGAAAGACTGTATTGCTGTTGATGGTAAGACAGAGCTACCTAGATGCTTTGCCTATGATGGTCCTACCTAAATGTGTCGCCTTGACCCAAATTCGAAGATACAGCATTTGTCATGTAATAGTCCAGTTGCAAGGGGATAATAGTGTGCTGAGATGAAGGTCTTGGTGTCAATATGGTTCACTCCTGGACATGTAGCTTTTTACAGTACAGTACTACAAATTATTCCACTATATACCTTTACCACCTATGTCAGTGCTATCCTTTGTCTCCTATCTAGTGTGTACGGAGACCAGTCTGGAGGAAGTTTCACCTTACCTCATCGTCGAGAACAGTACCAATCATCACCAACTGAATGGTACCATCACCTTCACCTGTCCAGCCAACATGTCCACCTCTAGTGGCGAGACCTCTAAGAATGTCACCTGTAAAAATATGTACAACAACACCTACAGTTATTTTCCAAAGGTTGTCGCTGCTTGTGATGGTAAGTGGTTTACGTGTCAGGTCAGGACAACTAACTCAGTATGCAAAGCCTTGTATTTCATATAACCTATGGACAATTTCTCCATCTGGATGTGTCATTAATGATCAAACACTGTAGTTGACCTTTACAGCGTCAAGTTCTGCCATTGCGCTATACTGTAATTTATAATACATTGAACACAGTATGCAAACTACATAGACGCAAAGAAACGGGGACAAACGCATAAAGAGTTGTATAGAATTAGATCAGGGAACAGTGATAAAAAAATAAAACAATGAACAATAAAAATGTCTCACAAGTAATATAATGTGTGATTGTATACAGTATTATCTTAAGCGCTGTTTATATTTTGAGATAATTTAACTTGTGAAGCTACCATACCTGTACTTGTACTGTACTTGAAGCTACCATACCTATACTTGTACAGTACTTGAAGCTACCATACCCATACTTGTACAGTACTTGAAGCTACCATACCTATACTTGTACAGTACTTGAAGCTACCATACCTATACTTGTACTGTACTTGAAGCTACCATACCTATACTTGTACAGTACTTGAAGCTACCATACCCATACTTGTACAGTACTTGAAGCTACCATACCCATACTTGTACAGTACTTGAAGCTACCATACCTATACTTGTACAGTACTTGAAGCTACCATACCCATACTTGTACGGTACTTGAAGCTACCATACCTATACTTGTACAGTACTTGAAGCTACCATACCCATATACTTGTACAGTACTTGAAGCTACCATACCCATACTTGTACAGTACTTGAAGCTACCATACCCATACTTGTACAGTACTTGAAGCTACCATACCCATACTTGTACAGTACTTGAAGCTACCATACCTATACTTGTACAGTACTTGAAGCTACCATACCCATACTTGTACAGTACTTGAAGCTACCATACCCATACTTGTACAGTACTTGAAGCTACCATACCCATACTTGTACAGTACTTGAAGCTACCATACCTATACTTGTACAGTACTTGAAGCTACCATACCTATACTTGTACTGTTGTTTGTGAAATAAAATGACTTAACAAGGTTCAAAGGTCTCATAAGGTGCACTCGTATGACCACCACAGTCTCTGGGCCTTGGCTCTTGGTTTCATCCCCTGGGGTCACCTAAAATCTGCCATTTACCAAGAGCGCCTAAGAACTATTTATATACATGACCCCAGAGGATGAAATCAAGAGGTGTCAGGTCCAGATGCTCAAAAAGAGAGAGAGAGAGAGAGAGAGAGAGAGAGAGAGAGAGAGAGAGAAAAAAAAAACTTTGCCGGTAATTTTCCAATGGGGTGACACCTACCATGTACAGTACAGTAAAGCCTCGAATAACAACGGTAATGTGTCCTCCAATATTGTAGTGTAAGGTGAATCATTAATTACCATTAAAATACAACAATAATAATGAGATGAGTTCTAAAACCTGACCTTTTCATATCTTTTGTGTGGCTTTTTACCCTCTTTTCCCCCAAAACAATAAAATTAATGAAAAATGCATACTATTTTCTTTAAATAATGTTTATGACTGAACTTTATACATTATAAATCATTAATATTAATAATAATAATAATATCACACAAGAGGAGATGGGATGCCATTGTTGTTGTCAGTGTTTACACCAATAATGTCAGTTATCCACCTGAAACTGAAGAAAATAAGACCCTGGTTGTAGCTGCAGTAAAATTAATGTAAAAAAATAATATGTATATTTTAAGTACAGTAGCCTACATTAGTACTGTATTGATGATGCTAAATAATTACAGTAGTAGAATTAATGAAAAAAATCTCCTTTATTTAAGTGTGCCTTGGACAACCTGAAACAGAAAATGCCACAACAGCTTGGAGTAGTAGCACAACTAACTACTCCCTCAACGATGCAGTCAATGTTATCTGTAACGAGAATCACTTCGTCGACTTGTTGAGCAAGAGACAATCACTCTCCTGTTCCTACACTGGCTGGACCAACACCACACCATGTTATGAAGGTCAGTTATTCTCTGATGGCTTCTATTGTAGAGCAGTTTACTGTTGCCTTATGTTATACACTCGTGAACCAGACACCACCATTATACACTGATACACCACCATTATACACTGATACACCACCATTATACACTGATACACCACCATTATACACTGATACACCACCATTATACACTGATACACCACCATTATACACTTATACACCACCATTATACACTTATACACCACCATTATACACTTATACACCAATATCTCATTATACATTCATACAGTATGAATGTATAATGGAGTATCGGTGTGCAGTATTTTGTTTTGACCTTCCTTGTCTGGGGTATGGTGCTGTGGTTATACAGTACCCTTGTATGTTACTAAGTTTAATGGCACTTGTGCATTCATAACAAGAAAGTAATACTAGTGCGGGTAGGTAGTGATGACTAAGCCGACCTTGTGTAATATTAGGTAAACTTGAAGTCCATAGACGATAGTTAATGACACATTTTAACTAAGAAGTAACTTTTGGTAACATTATTGTCTTTATAACGCTGGATGATCTCATAAAGCCACAAATGATATATGATAATTTTATATGACCTTGGATAACAGATGTTGACTTAACATGAACTTGGATGACCTTAATTGCCCTTTCCTTAGGCTGTGGTAACCCACCACCTAACCCTGGAGCCAACATGACGCGGGACAACTTCACCAACAATGCCATAGGTGCCGAGGTCTCTTACACCTGTGATGATGGACTTAGCATCCATGAGGTGAAACTAACACTTGGGTCAGGCTTAACACCTTGGACACAAATACTTCCATGAATTTAAATTTATTCATTTGTTTTCAAATGTTGAAACTTAAATTTTTTGCAGATCAAGGCTTTGTAAATTAAAGGATATCTGCAGATAGAGAGAGGGGAGTGGGTTATAAATTCCTAAAGAAGTGAGTTAGTTGAATGATTATTAGGGAATGATGATAAATATGGGCTGTGAATTAATGCTGTACAGATAAACTAATAGTTATATCCAAATTAAAAATCAATCCTAAGATAAGAATTATTTTTGGTTGCCAACTTTCTAGGTATGTAAGACCTAGCTTAGTTTATTTGCCATCCTCTCACAATGGTCCGAGAACATCTGTTTGTTGTTACCATACACCCTTAGGTTCTTTTCACATTTGGTCTCGGTTAATAATGATTCTTCTCTTCACATATCAGTACTGGTTGTGATCTTTTCAACATTCTTCTGCCGAGCCACTAGCTGCTGCTTCAATTGTTCTGGTCCTCCTTCCCTCTGTCACCTTCTGTGTGTCTGCCTTAACCCGAGCCTAGCTTCTTTTGACTTATCATTATAACATATCAACTGATTCTTCAGCCTTAGTGAGGATTTCTTTTTCAACTTGCTCTTGGATTCATCTTCTGTTTATTACTCTAAATTTCTCTCTTTTATGATTGAGGATCTTAGTCAGAGTAAAGGAGAAACTGGATACTGTATATGAATGAAATTACAAGTTGTGGTCCCAGAGAGATGCAAAACTTAGTTGTGGTGAAGACAGTGCATTAACCCATATGCTCTGGACAGCGTAAGACCCTCCAGACCCCCCCACGCAGGCATATCTGGGCAGACAAAATATATATGTATTTGTTAATTCAGTCGAAAACTGGCATTTCAGATGTAAAATCAGTGCAGTCACTTTTGTGGTTGGTGTGTACGTGGTCCATGGCGCCCATGAGAACTGAGGGGTGGCCGATGGGGAGGGAAGGAGTTGTGAATGCCATTGTCTGTGTCACTGTCCTCACCGCTGTCTGCCTCAACAAACTCGACATCATCTGGGTCCGTTTCCTCCCCATCACTGTTTTCATCACCCAGTACTATATCAATGCCACTCTTGATGAATAGCACTACTGTCGAGGGTGTGGGGGAGTGAGGCGGGCTATGAGACATCGGACATGCATTCATTATGATAGCTGGTGTGTAACTGGACCACTACACTTTAGACAAAGATTACGTATGAGTTCAGTTGCCAAGTAAATGTCACCTGGAGTCACTATGTTGGACGTAGAGGAATGTTACCCGGGCTTTAAGGGTTAATGTTTAAAGTGGAGGACCGGGGTCACCAGCCTTTAGTCATGATGATGGTCTCTCTCTCTCTCTCTCTCTCTCTCTCTCTCTCTCTCTCTCTCTCTCTCCCTAAACAGACCCTGTACTTGTTCCAGACATACCCTGACCTGACTAACACCATTACGTTGACATGTAAGGACCATGTGTGGCTACCCAATGACACCAAGCTTGAGTGTGCCAAAGGTAAGTTGGCGTGTGTCACAGGTAAGCTTATATTATTTTACCGGATAATTTAGTTACCGCAAGATAGAACTCATTATGTTATATTGATACTTCATCTGTTTTTATTGTATTAGATAGATACTGTAGGTTGGTAAATAGATATTCAGTAAAGTTGTCATACAAGTTATATAGATTCCGTATTATAGACTGTAGGTATACAATACACTTGTAGTTATACGATGTACTTGTGTGTACAGTACATAGATTATAGACACTGTAGTATGTCTTATGTTCTGTATCGTGGCGACCTGTGGTGTAATTATCAGCATGCTCGCCTCTCAAGCGAGCGGACCTAGGTTCGATCCCGGGCAGGGTGAAACTATGGTCAAGTTTCTTTACGCCATTTGCCTCTGTCTATCCAGCAGTAATTGGGGACCTGGATGTTAATCGATTTGCGGATCGTATTCCGGGGTAATGGTAAATACACACTGAGTCATGCAGCTCGTTAACTCGGGGTGTGGTTGTTGTGTTGGCGACAGCTTCTACACCTCATACAAATTCGCTCCTAGGTGACCCTTGGGCCGGCCATCCTCGTTACACAAGCGACAACCATTATTTTGTATTATGTAGTGTATAACATCATGAATAATACTCTGATGCATACATCTTTGTTTTTTGATGTTGTGGGTAAATGTATTGGTGAGAAACATCACAGTTAAGATCTTTGGTTGTGTCTTATGTGGTCAGATTTTTTACCTACGAGAAGAGTAGATGTTTGAGAGGCTGAGTGGGTGCAGGTGGTGGGGGGCTGAGTGGGTGCAGGTGGTGGGGGGCTGAGTGGGTGCAGGCGGTGGAAGGCTGAGTGGGAGCAGGCGGTGGGAGGCTGAGTGGGTCTTAACAAGTACCAGAATGTAAATAACAGCCGTGTGGTAGATATAATTTAGTTATAATTAGTAATATAGTGAGCTTCCTTCCTTCATATATGTGAGCTTTTCTAACCATTAATGTTTTACTCACGTGACAGTATGTGCGGATGACCCTCCATCTCCGATATCTGTTGATCCATACCCCAATGCCACATCCACCTGGGACAACTACACTCGTGTTTCCGGCACTCAGGTCGGTACATTCTCACTTAACATTAACTACTGTACCACCTTACCTACTGTACATACTTATATATTTACTTATTAACTCTTACTTACTTGTTCTCTTCGCCTCTGATATATTCTAAAATCAAAACTAAGCTAATTTGGGGAGGGAAACTTGTAAACATTATAGTTGGTAAAAACAGCCTAGAGAATGGCATATTTTACCCTGGCACAAGTAAACGCTTTGGTTAGTAGACAACTATCAGAGTACAGTACATCATTATGTGGGTATCAATAATAACAGTATTAACTTACCATCAGCACTATTGCACAAATAAGAGGTTACACAAAATATAGCTCAGGAACCGATACAAAGACCCACCCAAGCGTTTAACAGGCCGATCAGTGGCGAAGAGGATAAAGTAAAGTAATAAGAACTAGTCAGTCCACATCATCCCTGCATACTGCTGCTTTGAATATATGTTATTTATCCCTCCCTCTATACAGGTCCAGTTGACGTGCCCTAGTGGATACTTATTTGCTAATCAAAATTCTACCATTACTGTGACTTGTGAAGAGGATGGAAACTGGACCTTGGTCAACACCAGCCTCATCTGCAGGATATGTGAGTTGACAAGATCAGTCCTCTCTGGTTGTTGTACTTGAGTGAGTCTGTCAGATTAAATCATTAGTATTTTTACTTAAAAATGATGTATGTTGGAAGATCAGATGTCAGAGTAAGAATGACGTAGGTGCGTTAGATAGATAGGTATTTATTCAGTTAAATCATCATAAAAGTTCACATAGATTCTGCATTTGTATGATAGTGCAGGTACAGTATACAAATAATGTAGATTATATGATTTCCAGTAGAATTCTGTGTCAAGGCTGGGGCACAAATCTGTAACATGCAGTATAGTATCTACAAAAATAGACGTGTGGTTTTAGGCAAATAGGTCAAAGGTCTACATGTCTTAGGATTGATATACTTTTATGTGTGTGTACAAATATTTTAAGTTTTTAAATACCTGTGAATGTAAACACAAGTTTATGATAGAAAATATTTGGACCTCTGAGTCTCACTTGGTTTGGGTTGTTATTTTCAGTTGTTGGTCTACCTAACCATTTTTATATATATATAGGATTCTTTGTTTTCTTACAGTAGCCATTACAGACCCAGTGACTTGTATTGATGAACAAACAAAAACTTTTTTATGAAACTTGTTGAAGATCCAATCAGTCATTTTTGTATATAACACAAGTTTTCTAATTGTTGTTACAGTGGCTACAGACCCACCACAACCCCCCGGCAGTGAGTACAGTGGCCCAGTACGGCCCTACTGGCAGTGGGACATCCTCAACTACACGTGTCCTGGGGACATGATGTCTCCCACAGGAACCAACGCCACCTCTCTCACTTTTAATGGCACCGAGTGGGTCCTGGAGGAACCTGACTTTCAATGCCTTAATGGTTAGTTTAAGTTAACTCCTTCACCAGTGGTAGGAACTTGTCTGTGTTAATGTTAGGAACATCTGCTTAATTTATGGTTTGGAACCTCTTGGAAGATATTAATTTGGTGAACTTCACTTAAGAAAGGTCAACATCCATAGAAATGTTAAAAATCCTGAAAGGGATGGAAGACAATGACCTAGATCACTTCTTTTAGACATCAAGTGCTACACACACAAGAGGTCATATTTTTTTAAGCTTCCCAAATTGTCATGCAGAATGAATATAAGGAAGAAGTAATTCTTCACGCAGAGGGTGGTAGACTTATAGAACAGACTACAGTACCAACTGAAGATGTGGAAGCAAGAACTACTGAGATTAAAAATAGTCCTGGACAAGGCTATCAAGAACAATGGGGGGATCTATGCAGATCATTGGCCTCCTCCACCACAACCAGGCTGTCTCTAATTGTGATGGCTGTTTCCTAAATTAGGTAGGCAGGAAAAAGTAACCATTACTCTCGTTCTACAGTGTGCCTGAGTGATCCCCTGACCCCAGACCCTCCAATCAAGACAACTTGGAATGGTCGGTCCCGGACTGTCAACACAATGGTGAGAACCTCTTCCTGCCTGCCTGGTGGGTTTCACACTCACTCTCCACAAACAGTACTAAATCCTCCTTATGAATAATTTACTAATATTACTCTCTGTATCTGCTAATGACTTATCAGTGAAAAAGAAAATATTGTTGTAAAACCAATAAGAACAATGCTCCTGTGCAACCCCCACAGGTTGAACTCTCATGTCCTGACGGGTATGTTTTCACCAACTTGAACTCCTCGGTTAACCTGACGTGTGACAACAACTCCCGCAATTGGACTGACATCGACACCTCCATCCTCATCTGCAGGATAGGTGAGTCACATTAGATCTAACCTCTGATATATACTGTGTATATATATATATATATATATATATATATATATATATATATATATATATATATATATATATATATATATATATATATATATATATATATATATATATATATATATATATATATACATATATACATACTTTAATTTTTAGTCCATATAACACGTGAACTTTGAACATAATCAACGACCTTACCAGCCAGGACTCGAACCCTCGACCTACTGTATGGGACCAGAGAACGGTAGTTACGCAGATTCTGACCAGGATAAAGCTGAGGCATTAAACAGCTTCTTTTCCTCGGTGTTCACAAGAGAGGATGCGATTATCCTTCCTGCGTTTCAGGAAAGATGGTTCGATACAGCACTGACCCACATTGTGTTCACAGAAGAGGGTATTAGATATAAACTGTCAAAGCTAAAGGTCCACAAGAGTGCATCCCAGAGTGCTAAGAAAGTTGTGCAATGAGCTTGCCGAGCCCCTGAAGATCCTCCTCTGTACAGTAAATGCCTGGATGAACAAAAGGTCTCCAGTGATTGGAAAATGGCTCATGTGAGTCCTATCTTCAAGAAGGGCGATCGTCACTCCACGAACAACTATAGACCGGTGAGCCTGACCAGCATAATATGTAAAGTACGTGAGAGTATTATCAGAGATGCCGCGATGGAACATCTACTACGAAACAACCTTGTAAAGGATTGCCAACACGGCTTTATGCCGGGGCGCTCCTGCATAACACAATTGCTCAAGGTATTGGATATTTGGACCCATATTCTGGAACGGGGTGGTAATATCGACAATATTTACCTAGATTTTGCCAATGCTTTCTACAATGTACCCCCAAGAAAAGCTGAAAATCAAACCAGAAGGGTACGGAATTCGTATAATATCCTAGCGTGGATAGAAGACTTTCTACATGACCGTAAGCAGTGTGCGTGATTAATGGCACGAAATCATCATCAGTACCTATTACAAGCGGGGTACCACATGGCAGTGTATTGGGCCCGCTGTTGTTTGTTTGTTTCATAAATGACATGCCTGACGTTCTACACTCCTCCATACAAATGTTTGCCAATGATGCCCAGTTATTTCGGGAAATCAAGAACCAAGAGGACTGTGAAGAGCTGCAGAAGGATCTCTGTGGGCTCCAAGAATGGTCAAAGAAGTGGCTGCTGAGATACAATGTCACGAAGTGTAAGAGGATGCACCTGGGGCGTACCAACGGTAAGGAGGCGTATCATATGTCCCAACGGGATGAAGAAACTCCACTATTTGAGACTGAATGTGAGATGGACCTAGGTGTGAATGTTGAATATATGCTGAAGCTCTCGGGCCATTGCGAGAAGAAGGTAAATCAGGCAAATAAATTATTGGGTCTTATAAGAAGGTCGTTCAGAGTAAAGTGCTTCCCCATCTGGAGTACTGTCACCCCATCTGGTCCCCGAGATATGCTAGTGACTATCAGTTGGTTGAAAATGTTCAAAGGAGGGCCACCAGACTGGTTCCTGCACTTCGGCACCTCAACTACCCTGAGAGATTGGAGCGCCAGAACTTGCCGCGCTTATACTACAGACAGGCAAGGGGCGACCTAATTTAGGTGTATAAGCATTTCAAGGGGCACTACTCAGTCGATTGTCCTTACTTGGAGCTGGCAGATGCTCGCCCCACAAGGGGTCACAGCTCAAGATTGAAGAAGCCGCAAGTTCAGAAAACTGTGAGGGCAAACTTTTTCGGAGTGAGAGTTGTGAACTCTTGGAACAATCTGCCAGAAAGTGTTGTGATGGCACCGAGTGTGAGTTCTTTCAAGACCAGACTTGACCAACACTGGAGCAGGTTCAGGTACATTCAGGAGCCCTGTGCATGCCCAATACTTGCCAACAGTGCGTAACAGAAAGCCAGTACATGCCTAGTACTTTCGGACAGTGCGTGACAGAGACGTGACCGATCGCCCAAGCGGCTAACGAGCTTATTAGTGGTGAAGAGGATAAAAGTAAAGTAAGTAAACGTACCCTTGCAGGTCTGTGTGCATATCTAGACATGTTAATGCCTCCATCCTCATCTGCAAATTAGTGATAGGTGAGCCATTGATATACTCAATTCACCTGGGAGTTTCATTAATTCGGACATTAAACTTGATACACAGTAGATTTGAAGTACATTGACATTATGATTCATTCATGTGTATGTTCAGTGTTGTCTCAACTAAGATAAAGGGACCATCCAATCAGTCATTTTATATATAACACAGATTTTCTTATTGTTGTTGCAGTGGCTACAGACCCACCACAACCCCCTGGCAGTGAGTACAGTGGCCCAGCACGGCCCTACTGGCAGTGGGACATCCTCAACTACACGTGTCCTGGGGACATGATGTCTCCCACAGGAACCAACGCCACCTCTCTCACTTTTAATGGCACCGAGTGGGTCCTGGAGGAACCTGACTTTCAATGCCTTAATGGTTAGTTTAAGTTAACTCCTTCACCAGTGGTAGGAACTTGTCTGTGTTAATGTTAGGAACATCTGCTTAATTTATGGTTTGGAACCTCTTGGTAGATATTAGTTTGGTGAACTTCACTTAAGAAAGGTCAACATCCATAGAAACGTTAAAAATCCTGAAAGGGATGGAAGACAATGACCTAGATCACTTCTTTTAGACATCAAGTGCTACACACACAAGAGGTCATATTTTTAAGCTTCCCAAATTGTCATGCAGAATGAATATAAGGAAGAAGTAATTCTTCATGCAGAGGGTGGTAGACTTATAGAACAGACTACAGTACCAACTGAAGATGTGGAAGCAAGAACTACTGAGATTAAAAATAGTCCTGGACAAGGCTATCAAGAACAATGGGGGGATCTATGCAGATCATTGGCCTCCTCCACCACAACCAGGCTGTCTCTAATTGTGATGGCTGTTTCCTAAATTAGGTAGGCAGGAAAAAGTAACCATTACTCTCGTTCTACAGTGTGCCTGAGTGATCCCCTGACCCCAGACCCTCCAATCAAGACAACTTGGAATGGTCGGTCCCGGACTGTCAACACAATGGTGAGAACCTCTTCCTGCCTGCCTGGTGGGTTTCATACTCACTCTCCACAAACAGTACTAAATCCTCCTTATGAATAATTTACTAATATTACTCTCTGTATCTGCTAATGACTTATCAGTGAAAAAGAAAATATTGTTGTAAAACCAATAAGAACAATGCACCTGTGCAACCCCCACAGGTTGAACTCTCATGTCCTGACGGGTATGTTTTCACCAACTTGAACTCCTCGGTTAACCTGACGTGTGACAACAACTCCCGCAACTGGACTGATATCGACACCTCCATCCTCATCTGCAGGATAGGTGAGTCACATTAGATCTAACCTCTGTACCCTTGCAGGTCTGTGTGTATATCTAGACATGTTAATGCCTCCATCCTCATCTACAGGATAGGTGAGTCACATTAGATCTAACCTCTGTACCCTTGCAGGTCTGTGTGTATATCTAGACATGTTAATGCCTCCATCCTCATCTACAAATTAGAAGTAGGTGAGCCATTGATGAACTCAATTCACCTGGGAGTTTCATTAATTCGGACATTAAAATTAATACACATTAGATTTGAAGTACACTGACATTATGATTCATTCATGTGTATATTTAGTGTTGTCTTAGATAAAGGGACCATGCAGTTAGAGATTAAGAGTGCTTGTGGCATCATCTGTCAGTACAGTTCCTAATACTGTATTGTATATCCTCTTACAAAATGCTGTCTGATAGGATATAAGTATTAAAACTGTGTCAATCACTACTTTATGATATTCAGTTTTAAACATGGTAGCTTAGAATGATCTAGTCTTCTTGTATCGTGTGTAATTTACAACTAATATAATAAAATCTTTAAAAAAAATTCTTGATATATATTACTAAGCTCACTGTTGTTATTCATTACTAAGCTTACTGTTGTTGTTTATTACAAAGCTTACTGTTGTTGTTCATTACTAAGCTCATTGTTGTTGTTACAGTGGCTATTGAAGGTCCACCTCAGATTCCTGATAGTGAATACTCGGGCCCAAAGCCACCCCACTGGCAATGGGATGTCCTCAACTATACGTGTTATGAGGACTTGATGTCCCCTGCAGAAACCAACACCACCTCTGTTACTTTTAATGGCACTGAATGGGTCCTGGAGGATCCTGACTTCAAGTGTCTTAATGGTCAGTGTGGGAAACATTGTGATGAAACTTCTCTCTTGTTTTTTTTAATTTTGGGCTGAACTCCTGCTAAGAACTTAATGTAAGTTATCTTACAAACTTCTGAAATTGTAGTGTGAGGAACCTGTCACTGGTTTATATGAAGCAGCTCTCAGCCTCTCACCTCGCACCACTAAATGAAGGATCTTACACAGCTCCTGAAGTATTGGTGACCAATTGTCTACTTATCTCAGGATTACTGATCAGTGACATTATCATTCTCATCTTCCATTATTGTTCCTTTCTTCTCGCTGAGTTTTCTTGGCAATATATTTGAGGCGCCATAACTCAACATCTTCCTGAACTTAGTTTACAATCCACAAGCCACAAATTTTCTACATCAGTTTTTCAGCCAAATATAATGTTTACACCTACAGTGTGTGGGTCACCACCCCCAGCCTCCAACAGGACTACCTACAGTCTCACTGCAGCTCCAGTGACGGGAACTATGGCTTCCTACATCTGTCTTGGAGGTTTCCTGGTTTATGACCCCTCCACCCTGGGTAACGACAACACCACAACCAGCCTCTCTAATGACACCACAACCCTCAACATCACCTGCCTGGACAGTGGCTGGAGCCTTAGTGACATACCAGTCTGTAAAAGTAAGAGACATGCGTTTTCTTACATATTATTCCAAAATATGATGAAAAGTTTGTTATTTAATTATCTCACACAAACACATAAAAAGGTTATTTTATTTGAGTACAGTAGGGTCGGGATATATTGCGAGATAGGGTCCAGCAATGTTCGCTACATACTAAATCGCGATATATAATTACATGTAATCAATGGGGAAAATAGGGTTAGGTTCTGGAGGCCAATAAAAGTGACTAAACTTGACTTAACGATGTATATTTTCTTACTAACTAAAGCACCAATGAACACTAGACTTGGGAACAACAGGCTATTTCAAGACTCGGCAGCTGACGCACCATCCCGAGAACACCAGACTCGGCAGCTGACGCACCATCCCGAGAACACCAGACTCGGCAGCTGACGCACCATCCCGAGAACACCAGACTCGGCAACTTTCGCCCACTGCCACCCTCACTTGACAATCCCACACCTACATAAATGAACAAACCAAATATATTAGTTACAGTATTAAATCTTTTCCATTAAGCTTTCCATTCTATTCACTTCACTTTTCACGTCACTACCAACCCATTTATACTCACCTGTGAAGTCGTAATATGCAGCAGAGTCAGCTGTTCACTCAGAAAGACTGTGCGGGCGAGCGTGAATGTGTGGGTGAGCAAATAACGCATTTGTTTGCCATGGCTTTACATTTGAAATATTTCCTGCCCAATTTCCCTAGTGAAATACTGTAAATAAATTTATCGCTATATATTGTAAAATTTTGATAATTTTGGTAGTCGCGATAAAAAAAAATCTTTATAAAAGGTTGCGATATATCCCGACTCTACTGTAAAACTTATGATAATTGTGTATTGAATTAATGTATTACAAAGCAGAAACTCGTTTTCTATGTATATCTTAACTATTGTCTATGCCACTGTGGATAAAAGCACAAATGTATACACTAGATTGAATTGGATAAAATTAATATCTTTATTAACAAGGAGGTAAACATTTGTCTTGGTCCAGTTGAATTCTGAGTAATTTTACTGTACTTAATGTTAAAATTATTGGTGTGGGTTCAGTTAAGTTGTTCTTTCATTCAACTGTGTACAGGTAGAGAACAAACAGGTTGTAATACTTATTTAGTACAGCACTAATAGAAGCCTCATGACACTCTTGTTCCTTCAGTAGAGCTATTGTTCAGGTTTTTGTTTTTTTGTTTTTATCCTATTCACCACTGATTGGCTCGTTAGCCGCTTACTTTTATTTCTATCCTCTTCACCACTGATCGGCTCGTTAGCCGCTTGGGCGATCGGTCACGTCTCTGTTACGAACTGTTGGCAAGTACCGGACATGCACCGGCTCCTGAATGTACCTGAACCTGCTCCAGTGTTGGTCAAGTCTGGTCTTGAAAGAGCTCACACTCGGTGCCGTCACAACACTTTCTGGTAGATTGTTCCAAGAGTTCACAACTCTCACTCCGAAAAAGTTTGCCCGTCTGTAGTATAAGCTAGGCAAGTTCAGGCGCTCCAATCTCTCAGGGTAGTTGAGGTGCCGAAGTGCAGGCACCAGTCTGGTGGCCCTCCTTTGAACATTTTCAACCATCTGACAGTCCCTAGCATATCTCGGGGACCAGACGGGGTGACAGTACTCCAGATGGGGAAGCACTTCTTATAAGACCTTATAATTTATTTGCCTGATTTACCTTCTTCTCGCAATGGCCCGAGAACTTCAGCTCATTGTCAACATACACACCTAGATCCTTCTCACATTGTCTCAAATAGTGCAGTTTCTTTATCCAATTGGGATATATGATACGCCTCCTTACCGTTGGTACGCCCCAGGTGCATCTTCTTACACTTCGTGACAATGAATCTCAGCTGCCATTTCTTCGACCATTCTTGGAGCACCACAGAGGTCCTTCTGCAGCTCTTCACAGTCCGCTTGGTTCTTGATTTTCCGAAATAACTTGGCGTCATCCGCAAACATTTGTATGTAGGAGTGTACAACGTCAGCCATGTCATTTATGAATCAAACAAACAGCGGGTCCAAATACACTGCCCCGTGGTACCCCGCTTGTGACAGGTACTGATGATGATTTCGTGCCATTATTCACCACACACTGCTTGCGATCATGTAGAAAGTCTTCTATCCACGCTAGGACATTTCCCCGAATTCCGTACCCTTACCAGTTTGATTTTCAGCCTTTCATGGGGTACACTGTTGAAGGCCTTGGCAAAATCTAGGTATATATTGTCAATATTACCACCCCGCTCCAGAATATAGGTCCAAATATCCAGTACCTGGTGTAATTGTGTTGAGCAGGCATAAAACCGTGTTGACAATCCTTTACAAGGTTATTTCGTAGTAGATGTTCCATCGCGGCATCTCTGATAATACTCTCAAGTACTTTACATACTATGCTGGTCAGGCTCACCGGTCTATAGTTGTTCGTGGAGTGACGATCGCCCTTCTTGAAGATAGGACTCGCATAAGCCATTTTCCAATCACTGGGACCTTTTGTTCATCCAGGCATTTACAGAACAGGATCTTCAGGGGCTCGGCAAGCCCGTTGCACAACTCTCTTAGCACTCTGGGATGCACCATGTCAGGGCCGGGACTCTTATGGACCTTTGGCTTTGACAGTTTATATCTAAAACCCTCTTCTGTGAACACAATGTGGGTCAGTGCTGTGTCGAACCATCTGTCCTCAAACGCAGGAAGGTTAATTGCATCCTATCTTGTGAGCACCGAGGAAAAGAAGCTGTTCAATGACTCGGCTTCATCCTGGTTAGAATCTGAGTAACTACCATCTTCAAGCCTCAGGTCTGATACTCCTACTCGTGTTTTTAAATTCGACTTTGCATAGCGGTAAAACGCCTTTGGATTTGACTTGACCTCGCTTGCAACCAGCCACTGGAACTCATTTCCACCCCTTCCACACGCTACCTTTGCTTGGTTTCTGGCTCTTGCATACATCCCACTGTCCTGCTCATCGTTTGACCCAACCCACGTCTTGAATATCTGGGTTTTCTTCTTAACTTTGTCGACCGCCGCATGGTTCATGTGTAGGGATCCCCTCGTATTCCCAGAGGCACTGGGTTTGGTCTTGGGTATATATTTATCGATCAAATGGGTCACTTTACTAGTTATGATATTCAACGCAGTGTCTGCATTCTTGTGCCTTAATGAGTCAGGCCAGTGGATACCCCTCATCTCTTCCCTCATCCCGTTGTAATTTCTCTTGTAGTATTTGCACCTTGGCCTGGCCTTTTCATGAGCTAGGTAACAGTTAAATCTGAATGACAACACTACATGGTGACTGGTGCCAACTGGGGCAAGGTGTTCCAGTTTGGCCACCACACCCTCCTCGTTTGTTATGATGAGGTCTAGTGGCTTGGGTGTACTTTTCTCACTCTTCCACAGGTGCTCTTCATTTTTAAACCCCTTTCTTTCACTGCTCCCTCATGACGTCTCTTGTCTCAACAGTGTGTACCACTCCTCCTCCGGCTTCTGATGTCGGGGTGACAATTTCATACAAGGGGGTGGACGAGTGGGGCGCTGTAGCCACCTACACCTGTGAGACCAAGTTTGTTGATGACAACAAAACCATAAGTGTTACTTGTCTGGAGGGAACCAGCAACTGGACAGTGACCAACCTGCCCCACTGTATAGGTAAGGTGCTGGCATGTTAGCACACACACACACACACTAAATACAGTAAACATATATTGTACTGTACATACACATGCGCACACACACACATACACACACATACACATACATGTAGTGCACTCAAAGATACACAATACAAACAAGCACACACTTTTACCGTTGACCCCTTAACTCAGGTAATCATATCAACAAACGTTCACAGACTTTGATAATTAACAGTGGAAGAAATTGTTGGTATATAAGTCAGAGGGACATGGGAGTGGAGGAGACAGAGAGGGGGGGGGGGGTGTTTACTTCCTGATGAAGGTTTATCTTATTATTGACAATAATTTGGAGACTAATGTACAAGTCATTATAAATTTAAGTAACATTAAACATAATGTGTACCTGTGTTTACCTCCATTACCATCCCTAGTTACCATAAGTATTACCATCAGTTACCATAAGTATTACCATCAGTTACCATAAGTATTACCATCAGTTACCATAAGTATTACCATCAGTTACCATAACACTTTCTGAGTTTGTTTATAACTGTTAGATCACCTGAAGATTACCCCCCCCTATCCAGTTTATTTCTCCTGATGATTGGGAGGTTAGGTTAGGTTAGGTTAGGTTAAGGTGGTTAATCTTAAGGTAGAATAAACTGGTGGGGTTAATCTACAGTTGACCCTTATTGTTAACTAATACAGTTTCTTATCTTAACCATAACTTCAATATCCTCTACGAGTATTCATGGAACCAACACACTGGTGGGATAAAGAATAATGTCAACTCTCAATTGTTTTTTCCGGTAAGTTTAATTTTTTTCTTTTTCCTTGAATTTTGTGATATGATATACTATATACATATATACTGTATATATATATTTGGATATATTGATTTATAAGACAGGAATATCTACCTAACTTTTCACAAGAGTACACTTATCTTTCTTAATCTGTCTCTCTTAATTATTTTTCGTTTTTTTTATTATTCTTTGTCTTATTAGTATTGCTCTCCTGTTCCTCCTGGGTGTTGTAAAAGATTCATTCTCTCTTAACTATGGATGAATGGCTTTATATATTATCTTTTTCCCTGGTTTTTGGCTAAAGATACATTAAGGATTTTTTTTTTACCTCACTGAACCCTTGTCATGTCTAGTGATGCTGTAGTGTTGTGTATTAGTGATAAGTATTGAGTAATCACCTAGAGACTTGACCTAACCTAACCTAAGCTAACCTAACCTAACCTAACCTAACCTAACCTGAGAATAACACACATTTGAGGACTGTATTTATAAACCTGTTGACAGCTTATTAAAAGATGTGGGAGGAAATAGTGATGATATTAAGTGATACCTTGAATTAACTTTTTTTTCAGCAATAATAAATAGAAATCACTATGATATACAGTGAAATCTCGTTATAACGGACTTCTCTCTCCGTATAATCTGTTAAATGGGAGTTTTCACATCTAACAGACCCTCGATATAACGGACTATTATCTCCATATAGTTTCGCTAGGTTGGTGTGTCTTATATAACGGACCCTGATATAACACTTTCATTTCCATATAGTCCGTTAAATAGAGGTTTCACTGTAGATTCTTATTATCACCATTGTCACTATAGTTCACTGAGGTATCATTGGGGTTCAGTGAAGTATCATCTTGGGGTTCACTGGGGCTCAGGTAAAACAGATGTCCCTGAATGATACAATATAAGGAATTAATAAAGGCATGTACATAAACTTACTAATTGTAGTTGTGAGATTTTTTATATGTAAGACTAGACTAATAATTATTATATATATATATGCTGATAACCACAAGGAAAAGAAAACACGAAGTTCCCAAGCGCTTTCGTGTAATTCACATCTTCAGGGGGTGAGTAAAAACTTAGTTTTCTTTTTCCTTGTAGTTATCACCATATACCTGGATCACGCGCACCTACAGTGATTTTTTTGCATATATATATATATATATATATATATATATATATATATATATATATATATATATATATATATATATATATATATATATATATATATATATATATATATATATATATATATATATATATATATATATATATATATATATATATATATATATATATATATATATATATATATATATATATATATATATATATATATATATATATATAGTATTGTTTCTATACCTGTACTGTTTGTGTACAATGTTATATCTGCACATCTATATACTGCACATTCGAAATCAACATGAATTTGTATAACATAAACAATTGACAGAATATCTCGTGTAATTAACCTGGTACAGTAGTTAGAAATAAATTGATTGTAAATTGTTGGTGTATGTAATTATCCTCAGTGGAAATAAATTAATTCGTGTAAATTAACTTTTACTTTTATCTTCTTCACCACTGATCGGCTCGTTAGCCGCTTGGGCGATCGGTCACGTCTATGTTACGCACTGTAGGCAAGTACTGGGCATGCACCGGCTCCTGTGTAAGGGTGGGGGCACGCTGTGCCACCAGTGTAAGGGCGGCGGATCTCCACTACTTCTACTTTCCTGCTGAACCACCGGGGATTTTCTTCCACCCTTATACTTATTTCAACTTCTCTCTGTCATATTTCCTTCAATTGTTCTGTCTATATATTTCAGTTTATGGTTACTACATAACCTCAGTTCTTTTGGTAGCATGGCGAGGGCAGGCACGTGGGTACTGTAACTCTGGGATCAAGGTCACTTGGACAAAATAAAGGTAAATACTGAGGTGAAATGAATACCCCTAATGTACTCTTAAGAAATGGTTTATTAATATGAAATCAAAGTAGGGAAAAAGATGTCATTAATATACAACTCCAAGGTTCAACCCTTGGCTTAACTCAACTGCAATTCACTTAGATACTGTACTCTTACTTCTCACAACCTTACTGGTGTTACGTAACATTAACAGTCACCATGATCAACTCCTTGGCTTTACTCACAACTGCCATTCCAAGGGGATACTTTTACTTCTCACACATTACTCGTGTTATATGGCAGTACATTACATTACCAGACAAACTTACATCTGATACCTTCACTAGACTGTTGTTAGTACATATGAGATGCACCCACAACACACAACACGTGATTACTGATACAAACAAGTTACATGGGTTCACTTCCCAACATGGGATAATTATATTCCAGATAATTATCCCCAAACAAATACAACAAACACTGTGGACCATATAACTGCCAGGAGTGTCCCAGGGTAGAACACTCAACAACTGACGGCCGCTGCTGTGGCCGGTTGTACTCCGACACGTGGCGGGTCTGGGGTCCAGCCCCACGATGTGAGTGGAGCAGTTTAATCCTGCCGAATCGGTGACATCGTCCAATATAGCTAACTGTTAGGTATCCACCGACTCCGGGCAGCCGGTGGGGTGTTCAAATAACCCACACACTGGATCTGAGACAAATAGAGAAGCGTTACGGGGAGGACGGTGATGACTCATTCACAACAAATCTTTCGTCTCGCAACGTCAGACGACATTTACGTTACTAGTAATTCTTACACTGAGTAAATGACAATTGCACTAATACAACATGAACACTGATACTCACAAAATTGACTAAGTCAAACTGAATGGCTATATCAGCGGGGAACACATGCTTACATACCTGAGAACAAATGTAGGGCGTCACGGGAAGGACGCTCCCTCCACGCCATGGGTTTTTATACCCGTGAGTTGCCAGAGGCTGGCTACTCACGCAATGACAAAAATTACATGCAAACCCACTGTTACACATTCAAAGATGACCCTCAGTTGACATGGGTCTGGCGAATTACTAAAGTTGATTTACATAAATTAATTCAAGATTGAGCTTGTCAGTAGAAAGTGGAATATACATATTGACAACGGTGTTCACAAGGCGGGACTTACGGAGGGATCCTTGGTGTGAAACGTGTTTCTTCCAAGGGATGTTTTGCGGGTGTGAAGTATAATAAGAATCAACAGGTTTAAAACAGACCAGCAGTTAATGTGACCATGACACCTGAATGTACCTGAACCCGCTCCAGTGTTGGTCAAGTCTTGTCTTGAAAGAGTTTACAACCCTCACTCCGAAAAAGTTTGCCCTCACAGTTTTCTGGACTTGCGGCTTCTTCAATCTTGAGCTGTGACCCCTTGTGGGGCGAACATCTGCCAGCTCCAAGTAAGGACACTCGACTGAGTAGTGTCCCTTGAGATGCTTACACACCTCAATTGGGTCACCCCTTGCCCGTCTGTAGTTAAGCTAGGCAAGTTCAGGCGCTCCAATCTCTCAGGGTAGCTGAGGTGCCAAAGTGCAGGCACCAGTCTGGTGGCCCTCCTTTGAACACTTTCAACCAACTGACAGTCCCTAGCATATTTCGGGGCCCAGACGGGGTGACAGTACTCCAGATGGGGAAGCACTTCACTCTTGAAGATCGTTACGAGGGACGGACCGTCGAGATATCTGAACGACCTTCTTGTAAGACCCAATAATTTATTTGCCTGATTTACCTTCTTCTCGCAATGGCCCGAGAACTTCAGCTCATTGTCAACATACACTCCTAGGTCCTTCTCATAATCAGTTTCAAATAGTGCAGTTTCTTCATCCCTTTGGGACATAAGATACGCCCCCTTACCGTTGGTACGCCCCAGGTGCATCCTCTTACACTTCGTGACATTGAATCTCAGCAGCCATTTCTTCAACCATTCTTGGACCCCACAGAGGTCCTTTTGCAGCTCTTCACAGTCCGCTTGGTTCTTGATTTCCCGAAATAACTTGGCGTCATCGGCAAACACTTGTATGGAGGAGTGTACAACGTCAGACATGTCATTTATGAAACAAACAAACAAACTGCAGTGGGCCCAATACACTGCCCTGTGGTACCCCACTTGTGACAGGTACTGATGATGATTTCGTCCCATTAATCACCACACACTGCTTGCGGTCATGTTGAAAGTCTTCTATCCACGCTAGGACATTTCCCCGAATTCCGTACCCTTCCAGTTTGATTTTCAGCCTTTCATGGGGTACAATGTCGAAAGCCTTGGCAAAATCTAGGTAAATATTGTCGATATTACCACCCCATTCCAGAGTATGGGTCCAAATATCCAATATCTTAAGCAATTGTGTTAAGCAGGAGCGCCCCGGCATAAAACCGTGTTGGCAATCCTTTACAAGGTTGTTTCGTAGTAGATGTTCCACCGCGACATCTCTGATAATACTCTCAAGTACTTTACATATTATGCTGGTCAGGCTCACCGGTCTATAGTCGTTCGTGGAGTGACGATCACCCTTCTTGAAGATAGGACTCGCATAAGCCACTTTCCATTCACTGGGGACCTTTTGTTCATCCAGGCATTTACAAAACAGAATCATCAGGGGCTCGGCAAGCTCGTTGCACAACTCTCTTAGCACTCTGGGATGCACCATGTCAGGTCCAGGACTCTTATGGACCTGGACAGTTTATTTCTAATACCCTCTTTTGTGAACACAATGTGGGTCAGTGCTGTGTCGAACCGTCTGTCCTCAAACGCAGGAAGGTTAATTGCATCCTCTCTTGTGAACACCGAGGAAAAGAAGCTGTTCAATGCCTCAGCTTTATCCTGGTCAGAATCTACGTAACTACCATCTTCAAGCCTCAGGTCTGATACTCCTACTCACGTTTTTAATTTTAACTTTGCATTGCAGTAAAATGCCTTTGGGTTTGACTTGGCCTCGCTTGTATCCAGCCTTTGGAACTCCTTTTCAGCCCTTCTACACTCTGCCTTTGCTTGGTTTCTGGCTCTTGCAAATGTTCTAGCTGGTTAATTATAGGTTCTGTCGAAGTTAACCAGGCTGGTACATTTATATTCTATTGGGTTAGAGTAGCGAAACCCAATTGTCTGTTTCTTCCTTTTATTAAGGAACTGCTGTTGATACAATTCCTGAGTGTAAATCAACCGTAACTTCCACTATTTATGAGTGTGAAGAGAGAGGACGGCGGCTATGTAAAGAGACCGTTTAATCACGTCCTTTCGATGTGAGATTATAAGTGTGACTGCCCGTGGGTGCCGGCTTATCCGAGCTGACCCATGTGCAGGACGAATATAAAGAAACACTTCCTCACACGGAGGGGGGGGTGGACCTAAGGAATAGGCTGCCAGTTTAATCTGTGGAAGCGAGAAAAGTACTGGCCTCCAAAATATCTCTTAAGACTATCAATAACAATGGAGGGAGCCTAGATACGCCACTGGGCTGTCTCACTCAGCATGGCCACCTCTAGTTTGGGCGACCATTAGGGACTGTAAAGATTTATGGGGATTCAAGTTCACTGGAGCAGGTTCAGGTACATTCAGGAGCCGGTGCATGCCCAGTACTTGCCAACAATGCGTAACAGCGACGTGACCGATCGCCCAAGCGGCTAACGAGCCAATCAGTGGTGAAGAGGATAAAAGTAAAAAGTAAAAATATTGGTTTATTTTAAATATGTTTTCTCATATTCTGGCTATTTATTTACTTGTGGTGTTTACATTGATATGCATTTTTGGTCATCTGTAAAATAGTATTACCGTATAATACTATAGTACAGTAAAGTAGATACAACTGTAGTGTTCCCCTGATAATACAGACATATGATCATTACTCAAGTATACTGTATTAATGTACAAAACTTAATTCATGATACTAAAAACAAAATACAAAAAAGGACAAATAAA